TATGACGACTGTTATTAATTTTATGAAATTGTTGGTAATAGGTAAACAGGTATAGAGGGAGAGGTGAGATAATTATTTATCTACATTATGGGGACGGAAGAGATCTTCTGGGAGATGGGATTTGATTCTTGTAGGAGCAACGCTGATTTTACCAAGGTTAAAGTGGTTTTCAACTTCAAGTGGTAATAATCATTCATATATCATCCCATCTTTAAAACACGTAAATACAAAAATTAACAAAAATTACGAAACGAGACGGAGAAATGAAGGGCGCAAAGGCGGTACCAGCATCGGAAACATATTTGGGAGCAGGAATTGTTGGCACACACTAGTGTCCAAACAGTTTCAAAGTAATAGTAACAAAGTTCAAAGCGTTTACGAGATTTAACATTTTAGCAACAAATAAACTAGATATTTAGGAATCAATTCGCACCTCTTGTCGAAATTGTTATTTTGCAATATTCAATTCGGAGACAATTTGGAGACCCTTCCGGGTCGTATTAGTAGAATTGTTTATAAGAGTGTTAATTGTTGCTGCTGGCGAAGGAGAATATTCAGTTATGAGCGCGTTCTGGCGGTTCCCCATAGGACTGCCTGCGTGGTCCCACCCCATGCAGTTCATAAGTGACCGTGGAGGTAGATGGTTAGTCATGGTGACGAGGAAGTGATAGTGATACTCGTAGATAAACAATTATAGACAATTATATCGGACCTCAACAATAGCAAAATTATTAATTTGCTGCTTTCGTATCTAAGACACCATGCTTATTAAACATATTCCAAATATTAACAAAATGGTTGCAGTGTGATTAGTTTCGAGATCCTACTAATATATCCTTATATATGACACCCCTTTAAATGAAGTTGAAATAACAATTTTATTTTAATACATACAGCTTATGACATAACATTATTTTCAATCCTTAATTAAAAACGAAAATATGAAAATGCAGAAGAATGGAAAGCAGAATTCAGGAAAAACACTGCAACTATTTGGTGAATATTTGAAATGTGTCGTATCTTCAAATACTACTATTCCTTCTCTTCCCTGAACGCGCGCTAGCAGGGGGAGCGCTGCAAGACCTTGCGTGGAGGACTGTTACATTCAAAATATGCGTTAAACACTAGACGCAAAAAAATTAAAATTACTCAAAAAAATGGTTCTCTACCATACAACAAAATGTATATCACTAGATTTGTCTCTTTACGCTCGTCATGATAGACCGACAAAATATGTATAGTTCCATTTGAAAAACAAAGATACCTCAAATATCTCGTAATATACAAGTGATAAAATAGAAATAAACACACTCCCATTCCCTCATGTACTTCCGTGAAAACTGTATTGCGATAACATCAACCGTTCAAAAGTTACAGGAGATGCTAAAATTACGTGGCTTGTCCTGTATACACACACATTAAGGCATCCAGCTCTCCAGTACACAGCTTCAAAAAAAAATATGTAAATACATTCTTGTTACAACGCCCACAATTTGACGCCTACATTCATTTGACAATTCTACGCCTACATTCATTCACCTACTGATGTAGGTGTAATGCCTTTTTCACCAAATTTTTTTCACAATGCTGTGAATACTATTCACTGCATCTGCGCCAAGGACAATTATTGTTATCTTCCGCATTTGCAGGGATGGGTCGGCTTGTAAACAATGGAGCAGTCGTTGGAAACCTAAAAGCCTTCACTCAGACCACTCGGTGACGCCACCGATAAGCGGCAGCGCCCGTCGCACACAGCCACCGCCGACCGCCACTGACCGCGAGATAAGATGGTTTCGTGAGTCACACCGCTGTACTCTCAGGCGGCCGAAAGACAAGCAGAAGGCAAACAAGGTACAGTTGCGCGTCTCGTGCGAACGCTGCTTTTTACAACGCGCGTCTGCGCTGCTAGTGGCAGGAGTTCGTCACCGAGCGCCTCAGCACCGCGCCTACGCCACTCGTGTGATTAAAATATTAAAAAATACTGATGCTTTAACAAAAATTCTTACAGCGGCCAATTTTTGACAGAAAAACTCTTATTGTAGGGTCTTGGTAACGAGAAAGTGACAACGTGATATTTAGTTTTATTTAATGTATTACCTTGTTAGGAACAGTAATTTAGTTGGTTAGCTAAACTATCTGAATCAAGGAATAACACATGACGAATTTAAAATACTAGATTTTTTTAAGAAGCTGTGCAGTATTAATGAAACTTAGCTTACGTGTTCACGATTATTTTATTCTGTTTTGCGTTAATTATTGTCTTATCTGTCCGCGTACCGACCCAATGTGAGCGTAGCTTAAACCGTTGGGCCGATTTTCTCCAAAATTGATATTCCTCGATTAATTTAAAGTAACTCGAGGCCTTTGAGTTTGAAATATATATTTTGATTTTGGGGTACTATACTTAAGGCCTCAGCATTTTCGATTCTTTTTAAAAATGGTTTCAATTTTATTTTACTTTGTCCTTGGATAGCGTAAAAGAGCTTAAGAGAATGGTGCAGGTCTCATTTTCGTTGAAATCACTCATTTTTTGAAAATGGCAAAAGTTCAGTTTTTCGGCGTCTTTCTGCAACTACAATATTGAAGACGGAGATTATTTTCTGAAATAAATATTTTCTTTAAAGACAGGTCTTGAAGTTGGGTCATGTACAACTTTTAGAAAATATGAATAGTTTTTGCGTATTTTTTATGCGAAATACACGCAATTTAAAAAAAATTGACAGTTTTCTCAAAAACGGCTTCTATTTTTAAAAATTGTCTCTTCGTATATTTCAAAAGACGGTAAAAGAAATTGGGACTGATGTCATTTTCGGCAAACTGTCTATATTTTCAAAAATTGCACAAATTTAACATTTAAAAACTACAAAATCGAAGATAGAGATTTTTGCTTTAACAAAATCTGAAAAAAAATTCTCAAAAATCGCTCCGCATTTTTATTTCATCCCCCCCCCGATAGAACAAGAAAAACTTAAAAGAATGGCACAGGTCTCATTTCCGTTAAACTCGCTGAATTTTCAAAAATTGCAAATTTAGAAACGATGCGAGAAAATATGTACTGTTATAGCACCTACTAGTTTATTCATGTACCTCCTGGGTTAAAAAATTGCGACCTTTCAAATGGCAGAACTGCTTCCCCACATACTGGACTTAAAGTTTTCATACACTATGGGTAACTTGTCAGTTCTTTTCTCCGCAAAATTGTCAGCAATTCAGTACTCAGAGATTTCGTGTTTATTAGAGACGTTATTAAGACCTACCCTCTGAAACAGGGATGTCCAACTTGCAAAGTCTCAAGGGTCAAAACTAAAACCTTTAATATGGTTGTGGGCCATATTTTCATTACTCGGGCGATACACACGTGACCCCGTCTCGTTGATAATCGGCAGTTTTCCTGGCTTCTCTGGAATGGGAGGGGGTGGAACCATGAGTAATATCAGGCCGTACCATGCATAACGCAATGCAACACATTGATATGATTACGAATTTCTTAATTTACTAGAAAAAATCCTTAAATCTAAACTTAAACAGTTTTTACATTTAGGGGTTGTTGACCCCGGCAGGGAACATGCGATAGGCGCACTTAGTTCTCGCCGGACATGGATGCAAGGGACTTTCACGTTTGCCTAACCTTTTGCGGGACAATAAATGGCACCGCGGGCCGCCAGTTGGACAACGCTGTTCTAGAAACATTATATTATTTTATAAATGAGTCGCTGAGATGTTCGAAAGAACAAATGAGACTTCAGGTCACAAAATTATTTTTTCTGAAAAGAAAAAAAAGACACGCGAATGCATTTCGTTTGAGTTTACTTGATGGCAAGGGGATATTTCAGTTCAAGTGGTTGAAAAAACGAAAAGGGGAAAAGGAAAGGAAGGAGGGCGAGGGAGAGATAATAGTAATCCTTAATAGTAAAGAGATAGCACGCGTGTATATACTAATAGTGTGAGGAAAGAGATAAAATGGTGAGACATTGTTGGCGTGGCGTTATTTTGGCACGTCTTAGTAATAACCACGAATTAGTTTCAATGAAATTTTGAAACGAAAGTAGCAAGCATATCAATTGTAAAAGAGTTCGCTGGAGTGAGGGGTAGGTTAATCTGGAAAAATTCGTCAAAACTTGTAACACAATCCCGTTTTAGCTGCTATACTTCGGTGCCCTGGGCGTTCCAAGATTACAATCGGAAATTGGAAAATATCTTCCCTGCCTATCTTTCAAATAAGGTGAAATATTACTCATACACAGTTAATGATGAATATTGTTAAAATAGCAAGTAGTTGAGAAAAAATATTCATATGCAAATTGGTAAAGTATTGAACTCATGAAATCTGGTGTGACGTTATTCCATTATTTGGTAATATATATATATATATATATATATATATATNNATATATATATAGAAATTTCTATTAGCATATTAATAATACAGTAGGAAAAAGGCTTATACATTTTCACATTTAAACAATGTCCTTATCATGGTTTCAGGAGTGCCAATATACTACTAAAAAATTATCGTACGCGTTTCATAATATACAATTTATTGTTCAATCTGTTTAAGTAACATATGCTTTGGAACCAACAAACTACACTAAAAATATTTTAAACAAAGATTAAAATTATCTCGTAAATGTCTATGTATAATATACGGCTTAACCCGTTGTTTCACTTCTCAATTCTTAAAATTATTGCTTATTTCCCAAACAGAAAACGTTTGGCTAGAAAAGGAAATGAATCGTTTTCAATATATATCAGGGTCGTAATCCTATTGCAACTATTCATGTGACGATACATCTAGTCTCTGTTTTTAAAAACAATATTTCGATGGAGTTACAAGAGGTTATTATCAACGCAATGAGCATCAGTATTGGAAGCGTAATACTTAAGATCAGAGAAATAACTATACTTATTCTTAATTACATTGTATTAATACTAATAGAAGTTACAAAAAAAGAACAAGAGAGGACTTCTATAATATAATTTACTAGAAAAGTAATACTTACAAATTGTTTTCTTTACATAAGCGCGACGCAGTACGTCAACTTGCGCGATGACACTCTGTTGACGCGTAGTAAAAACAGCATACCACTATTGCTTGACAGTAAAAAACACGCACAACACTTTTGATTCCAGGCAGTCAATACCAAAATTCTGAAGCAATAACAAGGAGCAGCAGTAGAGCAAGGGGGGATTAACGCAGTCAGATACTTTTCGCATATTTCAGAGCTTACTCGTGTTGTTTCACGTTTTCACATATTTCTGCAAATACAGAAACTTCGAAATAATATTTTTCTGCACCTCACAGCTTTTAGAATATTGCTCAATATTGCACGTCTGAGCAGTGCTATGTCCCGAACTGTAAAGCAATTGATATCTCTACTAGTTCGCTACGGTTCGTTATTGGTCTGCAGCGGTTTGAGATAGTCAGTTGACAATCTTCTTGATCCTCCTACTGATGGCCGAATCGCAAAAGCATGGCGTTACTCAGTAGACGAATATGGAGTACATTAATTTCGCAAAGCTGTGGTATTTCAGGTGTGTCCCATAAACATTTCAAGTCTGTTTTGACAAAGCGAAAAGAACATTTTATCTCTGCTCGCTGGAAATCGGAGAAGTCTCGTGTAGAACAAAGTATGTATAAAATTAGATGTAACATAACCTCATTCTGATATAATATATTGCCGGCTTGAAATTAATTTGAAGCTTTATTAATCAAATAGATAATCAGGAAACGCGTACAGTAAATAATGAATTGTCAGGATTTTCATCGTTTGAAGAAATGATTGAAACTCGACGTTCTGAAGCTCGAAAAAGCATTGTTGTGCAAGTTCATTCAGAACAGTCCTGCCCAGAACTGTATTCTTACTGTTGTCAGTTTGGCACTGTTAAATCCATGCATCACTACACATTACCAGGCCCTTCTGTAAGTGCAATATATGATAAATCAGGTGAAAAAGTGTATATGTAAGCTTTGTTTGAAATATATCACCTACCCCTGTCATTTGTAATGAATTTAAAAATACTGTTTCTTATTAAACTTTGTAACATGTATCTATAATGAGAAGACCATGAAATATGCCAGACATTAACAGAAGAATTCTGTTGATAGCATTATGTTATTGTGGAATTTGGCAAAGAAGCAGATGTTTACAATGTTCTTCACAATAGTGGCCACCTTGATACAAATCAAATTGTACCAGTTCGATCACCATTCCTTTGGTTTCGAATTGGAAGAGGCAAAATGAAGATGGAAACTCCCTTGTCAAAAATTCCACTTCTGGAGATTGATGGAAACAATTCACCTTCAAATGATAATTTGTACAGTTGGCTGCATGCTGCAGAATCTGTAAGTTGATGTATCATAATGCTTTGTAGTTATTGAAGAAGCTAGATTGATGTGGACATCATAATGAAATTAAATATCTCTTTTCCACCACGAGATGGTGGTCAAGTGGTTCAATAGTGATGAGTTCATTATGATAATATATCAAACGTATTATTTCCATATTTTATCTATGACAGTTCCAGAGAACTTTTTAATTTCCTTTTTTAATATATTAATCAACAACTAGACTATGAATGTATTTGTTTTTACAAAAATGACTTGTTTTATGGATTTGACATGTATTGTAAAAATGGTAGGTTCATCTTTTTTTTAAATGTCTTAATAAAATTCTTTGTATCAAATGTAGAACTGTTAAGAGTTAATAATTATAATAAATATTTGCAGTTATGTTTAAAATTATATTAATTTTCTCTTATATTCCTGACCAAAAGTGTGTGTTATGATGAATTTATAAGAGCATGCATTTTGGCATGCTGTTCATAAAACGTATTCAAATGAGCGTGATGTTGCTGCACTATTGTATATAAAATAATTAGTCACGTTTTTTAAAAACATTTTGTAGGTTAATTTTTATTCCTGAAAATTTGAACATACGTATCATGTAATGCTAATGTGTAGAACTGTGCCAACATTAGTGAAAAATTGAAGTGTAATTATCGAAAGATATTTCATACCCTGAAATATTTAAATAACGTGCAGTATGAAGTCATCTTCAGTTGTTATGGAACAAGTAAATATTTATTATTTAAATTCATGTATTTTAACTTGAATACATATCATATGGTTAAAAATAGTGGTACTGATCCCAACCAAAAAATAAGTATGAGAGAGAGAACATTTTAAAATTGACTCATACTTCACAATATATTGTTTTGTGAAACATTCAAACTTGTATTTTTTGTATGTATAAATTAAGTGGTCACTTCATTATATTGTTGTGAATTGTAAAAGGAACTACAAACATTTGTCTGTGGAAATCTTTGTACTTTTAGTTATTCTTAGTAGCAATTTTTAAACTGTTCAGATACGCTGCTGTTTACATTAACAATATATTGCAGCAAATACTTTTATTTTATATTTTTCCTTCAGGTTTCTGATCAAATGCGTATTCTACATGAGGAAACTAGTCTCACAAGTTTGGGCTCACGTCTGAGGTTTCTTACAGCCCTTCAAATTGAGCAAGCTCTAAGTGGCCCATTCCCAAGAATTAAAGCTTACCCGTTTGGCTCCACTGTCAATAGCTTTGGTAAGATGAACTGTGATTTGGACTTGGTTTTAGAATTGGACAAGGAAGAGGCTAGTGTGAGTATTGTATAATGTTTAGATATAATACATGAACTTGTTAACTGTTGCATACTGCAATTAACTTGTCGTTTACTACCATTAATTATAAAAAAAATTCAATTTTAATTTATTTGTTGTAATAAATATAGCTTTCAATACAACACATAAAATATATCAATATAATATTCCATATAACACATTCGGAAAATACTGTGGAAGACTGACTGTGCACAGACGTGAAGGATGTTTCATTAAATATTTTTATCACTCATTTGTTAAATATCTTTTTCATACTCAGTACATTTAAAAAAGATAAATGAAAAAGGGAAGAAAAGAAAAAATAACAGTTAATATAGTAAAAGCGCAAATTAAAACAAAATATCTATTGTGGAATAGAAAAGAAACTATTCTGTTACAGAAAACATGAGTCTACTGTATTATTACTCAAATTTTTAAAAAAAGTACTCAAGAATTATTTTTTAACCTTTTTCCATTTGATGTAAATATATTGGATGACACATCAAATGTTTCAATTCCCACTACATTGCGTGTCTTTGGACTTCAATATTTGTTGACTGGGCAATAAGACCTTGGGTATCCCTTAGGTGTTCTGGTTACATAAATATTGATCTTAAAGCCACACATAATTACATAATAACAATTTCTAAGTAAAATAACATTTTATGTGTATTACATTATTTTCTCTCTACTAATAGACTGATGGGTGTATGCATGTTTTTTATGAATAATTTTGATACTCAGTTTTTGAAGGTTACTATTTAACAATACCAATGTCAAGTCATAAACTCCTCCTCACACTAATATGCCATAAGTTAGAATTGACCAGAATGAAGCATAGTATATATAGTTGTGTAGTTTCAAGAATCAATCTCAGTATGCTGAGAACATAAATGAGATATCTACTCTTCTGTGTCATTATTTGTAAAAAATAATGAACAGTAATTTTTGTTTACTAATAAATTGTATTGTTCCTCTCAAACTACTCTTGATATACAAACAGTAGTATGAGATTATCATACTTTTAACCCATACTTAAATTTGGTTGATTATAAAGATGTGTCTTATGCCAAATATGGTTAACATGACTAATACATAAAATAGTGCTTTATTATTGTTATTGCTTTTTAAATGTTCTTTTAATTTTATAATTAATGTATTATTATAAAGTACTCTCTACATGAAAATGTACTTATGGAATATAATAAGACTGGTTTGCATTTGTTGTCGGCCAGGGACTTGATAAGGTAATGGTCCAAATGTGTTTTTCTTGGATTTCTTCAGTCTGATTGCCGACTCATCTTCCATGCCAAAAATTCATTGACAAATGGTCGCACTCAAGTTCAGCGACACATGGAAACAATTGGTGATATATGTCAACTGTTCCTTCCTGGATGTGCCAATGTTCGGCGCATTCTACAGGCACGCGTTCCTATTGTCAAATATCGTCAAGAACTTACTGGTGTGGAGTGTGACTTGTCAATGACAAATATGTATGTATAATTTGAAACATATTTCTCCTATTAAAATGTTTCATACAATTAGCAAATTAAATTTATTCAAATAAATTAAAGTATATCATATCTGTTATTGTCTTATATTTGATTAATATTTTGGATGGTATCTCTATTCATTCATGCTCCTGCAAGATTTGTTTTTCAATTTTTTAAGATTTAGTTACTTATTTGAATTAACAATATGAATATTATTTGTAAACAAAATTGTTATGAAGCCGATGAACTCATTATTCGCATTACCAAAATACAGTATTTTAAAGAATTAATTAATTTTTTTCCATACACTCATTCACTCACTCATCCGTTTTTCTTCTTTCTTATATGATCTATGATTAATTATACTTGTGTGTTTGATACAGGTCTGCTGTTTACATGTCTGAACTTCTCTTTGTGCTGGGTTCAGTAGACAAACGTGTGCGTCCACTAGTACAAGCAGTACGGACATGGGCTCGAGATGTTGGACTCACAAACCCTACGCCAGGGCGCTGGATCACCAATTTTTCTTTGACTCTTTTGGTCTTGTTTTATTTGCAACAATCTTTGCCGCATCCAGTGATACCAACTTTCAACAAATTGATTTCCATGGCATGTGAGTGTCTTGTTATTTAATTCATACATATTATTTGATGCCTTTCAACATCCTGGTTACTATAATTGTATGCAAGGATCATCTCTCTCGTTTTTACTTTCTTGCTTTACTATTTACATAAAGTGAAAGTATTGTATTGCTGTGGCAAAATCAACAATTATTTGGACAGAAATACTCTTATTGTGGGGCCCTGAAATCAAAAAAGTGGATAAATTTTATTTCTATATGTTGTAAAGTACTTCTTCTAACACATTGTGTAGCAAGAATCCACATTTTATGTCCTTGATTGAAAAATCAATTGACAGCAAAACTGTCCGTCTGCTAGTCAATACTAGCACCTAAACCATTCAGCCTCAAACACATTTCAAAATTCTCTCAAAAAGGAATAAAAAAATGTTTATTAAATTTTGCTCTTAGATACTGTAAATAACGCTTAACAAGTGACACAGGTCCCATTTTCGTTAAAATCCCAGATCTTTCGAAAATTGCAAATGTTCAACAATTTTTTGGCAGATTTTAAACTATTATTTTCTCAAAAACCAGCTCCAAATTTTCTTCTTTTCATTTTTTCTCATGTGTAGCAAAGGATGGTAAAAATGTTTGTACTGGCCTCATTGTCGGCAAACTCTTATTTTTGAAAAGTGCAAAAAAATTACATTGAAAATATAATCTTTTTGTTAAATAAAATTCTTTTTTAAAAACAGTATAATTTGTGGAAGACGACAAAGAATTTTCACGTAATTTTTGCTTAAACAATTGGCGACCTGTCCGAATTTCAAAAATTGCATATGTTAAAATCAATGTGACAAAGTGTGTATGTTATGGCCCAACTTTTTAATAGATTTTTTTACTAGAAAATTATATGTAGAAATATAATTTCCTTTAATTATTCTTTCCTTAATTAAAGTTTGTAACTTACTGATTCAGGTATTGTGCAATCAACTCTGGTTTTAATGAACTCGCAGTTACAACGAACTGCACCTGGGAGTGACAGCAGTAGATAGACTCAGTGCACACAATGTATCTCTCAGATATAGTTACAACTTTTTGTGAATGCAAATGATCTGAAGCTCTATGTACTCAAATACATCTTTTATTTAGTTTGTACATGTCCCCTAATGCAACTATGAATGAATCCTACACTGCAAAAACTTCCTCTGAATATGTATGGTGAGAAAGGTAAAAATTGACAAAGTACTTGGATACATCATTAAACATCTTATTATCTGATTAAAGAATATTAAATACAAACAATTTTGGCATATTTTAAACAAACATATATTTTACATTTTTTACAAAAACATTTAAAAAGTATTTTTTCCATTTGGCAAGGTTTGCATATTTTTCATTTCCGTACAGACGTCTCCTGCACATCTTCTTTCTCTTTGGGAAGAAATTATGACAGTCGATCCTAGATAAGACAAATGATTACATATTTTGAATATGCCCTTGATGTAGACACGGCTGAAAATAAGGCCATCAATACACCCACCGCTTACACCAGATCACAATGGACTAGTACCAGTGCATGTAATGTACCTGTCAGATATCATGCAGCGCATTAATCAAGTTTCAACATTCACTGGATATGATTATGTAAAAGAATAAAAATAGAAGGCCAGGCGTTCTCAGAAAAGTGCAATGAAGGAATACATGAAGTATCAGATGAACAATGCATCGCAATAATGCAGGAACATAAAATTGCCGTGGCTGGGATTTCACAGAACTATTGCAGGGCACTCCTGGGTTAAGTCGCTACCACTTTCATTACAAATAATCATAAGAAGATTTGGTTATTCTGAACTCTGAATCTCGGCTATCTCGGATCTTGGCAAATGCTAACATCCTGAAAATTAATTCACTCCTGGAAAAAAAATATATTGCCTCAAAATTTGTTCCACAAATTTCAACCCTATACTGCGATTTATGTAACTCTGCCCCTGGCAGGTATCAGCTTATGACAGTTTCATCCAATTGGGAGCTTGAACGTCACTATAGTGACATCATTAGTGATGTTCAAGCTTTCGATTGGATGAAACTGTCAACAGCTGATACCTGCCAGGGGCAGAATTGTGAAAAGCGCAGTATAGACAGCTTAGGAAAAATATCGTCGGCCAAACCAGCCAACCAGGTATCTCCCAGAAGTGAAACACTGCTTTAGCCTTAACCAACTCTTAGCTCCCAACCAGTCTCCTGGCATGTGTGGTAGTGTAATGTGCTAGTATAAGTGTGTTTAAAGGGTGTAAAAGGTAGGAAAGATTGTGTGCGGTCCGTGGCCCGTTTGTTAGTGTACCCCGGAATTCATTGGGTGTTGATCAGAGAAACTACAGAGAACTACCGATCAGAGCAGCCAGCCACTAGAATTCTCCCCCAGACAGGGACTGAATTCTACCTAGTTGACAAGCTAGTATCAAAAATCCTGCCACCGTCGGGACTCGAACCTAGGACCTCCCTGTCAGAAGGGTCTCCCCTGAGGTGGAGGTAGTGGACCTGGAATGGGGATCTTACTGATTACCTTGTGCCACTCAGTTTCACTGCAGAAAGAAAGGTTGTGTCCTATGTGGATTATAACTGGTGGCAGCAACTCATGACTGCTTGCTTAGCTGCTTATGCCATGCCACTACCAAAAGAATCGTGTATGTTATTAGGCGAGTAAAAAAAGGGCCTTCGGAAGTGAGATGGGTTTCAAACAGTGCAACAGGTATTAAAGGGTGACAAGATTGCATTACGATATTCAAGAGACATGCAGACAATGCAGAATCAAATGTGGAGAATGTACACTCTGGAGGAAGGATCTAGAGAAAAGACTAATAAGAAAATGTATGATGAAAATTATAGATTTTTTTTGAGGTCAAATGAAGATATTTGAATTTTCAGCTCTTGCTTTTAATATATTTTACCGTATCCCTATATATTCATAAAATCAATCATTGTAGAGAAATTCTCTTTAATTTTGATTTAATTGGGTATAGTGAAATGTTATTCCCCAGATGTTTACTATATCCAGATTCTACTATATAGTGACATAAAATAAATTCTTCATCTCTCTGTCTCTTGATGTAAATTGAATGATTTCATGTAAATTGAGGGACAAATTTGTACACGATGTAATGTATTACCTGAATGAAGGATTCTCTTTGTATTAAACCTAATAATAGGGTATTCAAATAAGAAAATGCATGCGGGGCATTTGTGCTCAATCACGCACCATTGAACAGATTAAAAACTTTACTTTCTCAATTTTTCTATAGAAATGGTAATGGGAGATGGTGGTAAATTAAAAGAATTTAGGATAATATTGTTGATCAATCTCTGAATTTTATAGGTTGCTTGAAGGTGATTGATCAAACTACTTTATTCAATTTGTAGTTGAATGATGTGTTAAAAGATGATATGCAAAATCTTTTAACCCTTTGGCTCTGTTTGAAGTCATTTGTGGTCCCAGGCGCATATGTCTTGAAACACTCTGAAAATTATTCACGTGAACTTCTCATTTTAGATATGCTATTTATATCCAGTTTCATGAGTTGAAATCTTTTCACTTTTTTAAGTATCCTTGGTTGAAAGTAATTTGATTTTTGTGCGGTTGGTGTCATAAATGTCCTCAAATAGATTTTATCTTACACATCGAAATTACAAGAATATCCTATAAACATGTCCATTTCCATTTTATAATATTATGTTGTAGTTTCTAAATGATAATGTGGCATATTTGTCCATTACAAGATGATATCTCTGTTTCAAACATTCTCATGCTTGAAAGATATAGACATAGACACCTATGATCCATAGACACCTATGGATACACTAGAATGTTTTTTCTGGAAATAATACGTATCAGTGGTGGCCAGTATGGAATTCTATTGGTGGTGCCAGTTAGTGATGCAACATCGATATCAAAACATCAATGTTACTAATTATTGATGTTCAAAATTAAAACATCGCTGTTAATAACCCATCAATGTTTTAAACATCGATGTGGTTTAAACCTGTTTCCATAATCTCTAAATTGAAATTCGTGGGCAACAAAATTTAATTTTACAGTGACTCTGTTTATTAAGTTTTAATGAAAATTAAACTGGAAACAATCTACAAATAATAAGAATAAATAAAAAACTCAGTCTGAAAGCCTGAGCACCCACAGTAATCTCAAGAGGTTACAGCTTCCCAAGTTCACTGAAGAAGGGTATTGGAAGAAGGGGGGAAGCCCATGGCATACACTGTCTCTCCATGTGCAAAACACAAGGAAAGGCGTACGAAATACCAGGGCATCGATGTCACGCTGAGTGAGAGATGGTCTACTCAATGAAGATAATGTCATTAGTACACTGTATAGAACAGAACGTGAATTACTGTGCCAGTTCAATTCAATATGAATATCGATATTCAATATCCATATGAATCAAGATATGGAATTGGTGCTTGGGGACGACATCAAAATCTCTCTTAAATATAAACAGAATTTGCAGAATAGTTTCATTAAAATCCTCAATGAAAAATGGAACATATTAGATAAGACTTTGAAAGATAGCATCGGTTTGGATGGAATACTAAGATACTTCAAAGAAACACACTTTCATATAACCTGAAAGAGGGTGCTAAGTACAGCCATTCCATAATTGCTCAACCCACTACCAGAGGAATTATTAGAGATTACCTCTAAAAGATAACTAAAAAGGAAGCTAAAAGAATGGAATATCAATCACTTTACAAAAACAGTCAAGGAAGAAAAAACAAAACAATTTATTCTTTAAAAAGGTCAATAAAATTAGAAAATAATTGATTGAAATAAGTAGAAGTAGCAAAAGTAGGTTATAATTTGTTATTATATTGTTTGGCTGTTGTTGCTGATTATGCATGAGCTGTTTATTATTGTTAGGTTCATTATTAATTTTGCCAATTCTAAGTTGTGTATCATTTTAACAGTTTGACAAATGTTTGTCAATCCATCAATATTGTTCAATGTTATTTATTTATCATTTATTCATATTTTGTTCATCATTTTTTAATTTATTTTTGCTATTGTTTATAACTTGTTTATTTTATCATTGTTTTGCCAAGTTACTATTCTTATTATGAATTATTATATTATGTAATTGTTAAATATGTTAAAACTATAGTTTAACTAGCTAGGTGACACTTTGTTTTCAGTTGTGGTAACTGGGCATAAAATTTTAATGGTTATGATGAGTTGGGTAAAATAATTATAAAAACCCTTTCTTGTAGTCAGTAGTAGTAATTTTTGTCTAAAGCAGGAAAGTAGTGATTTTATGGGAGTGTTACATCCGGAAAATTAGAGCAATTTTTTTGATTATGGTCAGGAATTATTAGAAAATTGTCTTGATTTATTTCAAAATTATACAAAAGGATTTAATTTTGACCGCTGGCTTCATATAAGAAAAAATTCTGTAACTGTATTTTCTGTAATTTCTGTGACAGCAAAAATATAATTGTACGAGAGGGTCTAAAAAATTTTCAACTTTTTCAATTTTCAAAATTTCTGTGCCATAAAATTTCTGTTTCAAATTCAATACTCTTAATTTAGTACTCTACTGGTTTCAAATTTTTCTTCCTGATATTCTAATATGATAGCTTATGGTACGTAGTTCTTAAATAACTTATTTTTCTTATTAGATATTTTACTCTGAAGTCTCTTTTTCAAGAAAAAAAATGTGCATGAATTTTTAAGATTAATTACAAATGCATTTGCCATTGGTTGTAATGTGAATTTTTTTATTTTTACAGCAGCTGCAGACAAAATAATCACTACAGAAGGAGTAAATTGTACATTTGTTCGAGACTTGAAAGCAGTAAAGAAGTATATGGACCGTCAGCCAAAGAACACAGACCTTCTGGAAGATTTGCTTCTAAAATTTTTTGAATATTATTGTACTTTCGATTTTGGTAGCCATGCTATTTCTCTTGCAACTGGGACTCCTATTCCAAAACCAGAGCATGCTGCTCTCTATATTGTGAATCCACTGGAACGAGGTTTAAATGTCAGCAAAAATGTGAGCCTTGAGGAACTGGAGAGACTAAGAATTGAGTTCAGAAATGCTGCTTGGGCTTTAGAGTCATACATTAAGCAGCCTACTGGTGGAGGTGAACTATGGGGCTTGGTTGCTATTTGTCAGGCTCCAAAACTACAAGCAAAGGGAAAGAATGTGTTCTACATCCCACCCAAATTAACAGAAAAACCAAGAAGGTTTAACGTGCAAGAACTATTTGAAGAAGACTTAAATGTGAAAGATGTGCATGAGAAATGTAGTGTAATGACCAATTTGACTGATTCCATCCCTCAAGGAGTAGCATCAAATAAACAGTCTGAAGGGAAAGCAATTGCGGAGTCAGTGTTGATGGACATAAAGACTCGCCCTGCACGGCGAAAAAAACGATGATTGGTGCTTCTTAGAAAAATTTAAGTATATACAGTTTGTATGAAAATAAACATTAGTTTTCATTATATTAAAATTTTAAATATTGTTTTCTATTTTTCTGTTTATGTGCACTTTATTTAATTACAATGTTTGTGGGGCAGAGTTTATGAATTAACACTCTTCACTTCATTTGCACTTAGCACATTTGCTCATGTAACACATATACGAACAAACACATTACTAGCCTGCTACATAGAACATTCAATCACACTCAGAGAACTGAACCTGCTTCCTGCAGAATGTCATCATAAAGGAGGAAAAGAAAATTAGGTAGCCATTGTAAAGAATCTCTGTTGCTCTCATGAACAAATACTGCAGAGGATGTCGTTTCTAAGTAATACAGAGAAGCATCGGATTTTAGTCTATAATTTAAACATGACTTAACATTAAAAATTATTTGAAAACATATTTTCTTCAAGAAAGGTGAATGAATTATTATTACAAATAAGATTCAAAGGCAGGCTATTGGTAAAATGTAACTCTTTGTGATGCTGCATTCTTTTGTGCACATAACATTCTTAATCACACTCGAATTGTAGCTTCAGGTGTAATAGAAACAATGTTTTATTGATTTACTGCTAATTTCTATTCATCTTGCAATGTTTATTTTAAATGTTGAAAACAAAATACTGGAAATTCACCTATTTCTTATAATTTCATGATTGAATTCATTTAAAAATAAGCCATTTGTTTTGTTAAATGGGTAACGGGGGCTTATGGTAAAATGCATATACCTTCCATCACTGGAGCCCAGGTACAATCCTAAGCTAAACAATGTGGAATTCATAGTGAACAAAGAGAGCTTACTGCAATTCAAGGGTTCTCCCATTTTCTCTGCTTACAATTCCACTATTCTCTATCATTCATGCTGTCATGTCATGTCAAAAGTGTCATGTAATTAGATCATTTACTCATGGGCCGCAATGGCCTACATAACTAAAAGACACCTCTCTTCAGCTGGCACTACAACAACCGATACAAAAACACATATGGGACAATCCAGTATGTTTGTGAGTGAACATACAGGCTATGGGTTTCTGAAATAGAAACTATACTCTGAAGGGATTACTCTCATTTAGGGAGATTCAGAAGGCACAAATTCATTTAAAAAGTATAATTGAACTGAATAACTTATTACTTAATTGAATTAACTGGTTAGATTAAGAACCCTTGTAAAGGTAACTGTTAATACAGTTTGACAAACACCATAGGTGTTAAGATTGAAACGATTAATGCACCAAGACCAAATGCACTTAAGAAAATATATTAAAAATGTTTCAGAATAAATGGCAATTGATGTGGCATTACCAAAGAGAAATTACTGTAATATACCTTGAACACAGACAAAAATGGCAATGAATACATGACCTGCTAAAAGAGAAAAAAAACAAAACAAAGAATTATGCTGATGTCATTGTGAGCATGGAGCCCACTCACTTGATAAAACACTCATCTGAAGAGCTCGCGATGCCAGCAGGACATCTGGTTCACACGTAAATGAAAAAGAAAATTTTCATTTATGTTCTGTTATGCATTACAATGACATGTAATACAACACGTTCAAGTTTTTCCATTAATAAACTCATCCTAAGTATTAAATCACATATTATACATTAACAAGTCAATCCATACATATAAGTAGAGGTACTTCAATTTTGAAATGTATTATAACATTATTGAAATATAGTGGATATCAAGCTATTAGAAATGCAAATTACACTACAGCAAGTCCTGCATTCTAAATAATTTAGTTTATTAACATATATAGATAACTACCACATGTTGTACACTACAATTTATATAAACTACAAACTGTTTATGATTAAACATGAGTCACTGACATTCAAACGGTAATGGAGGGAAGTCATTAGGAATTCATAACGGCAAATTCTGTTATTTCCGTCATTTATTATTTTCTGACACTAAATACTTGAAAACATTCATACATACTGGTTAGGAGACTTGGACATTTTATCGCTTCTGTGGGCCTTTTGTTGCTGGAAATTGACAGCTGTTGACAACACTCTCTTAGAATTTCTTTCGTTCCAAATTGTATTCAGCCAACAGACCCTGTCTCGGCCCGTCTTGAACTCAATGGAAAGAATTTGAGATTTGGCTGCGATTGGCTGGATTTTTTATTATTTTCGCTCCTTGTTGGAAGTTACCGATTGCCGTTTTATCACATGGCAAAAATTGCAGCCATCCAGAGTACGCTCTGGAAACTACTTGGACCTCTCGAAAGCGCAGTTAAACCCCCCCCCAATTACGGGTTGCCCACTGTTCTGGACTCCCGGAGAGGGGTCTCCGGGTGAGCAAGAACTGCACGAGGTAAACGTGGCAGCGTAAGTATTCACTGTTAGTGGAGAACTGACCCTTGATTTGTTAGCAACAGCGTGGCGAGTGATGCATTAGTCATCGTAGTACGTGGTATGAGTGTTACAAATTAGTAGTTTGAGTCACTAAGTACGTAAGGATGTGTGCAACGCACTCGTGCTGGAACCGAATGAGGACATGATTGCAGATTAAACAGTATTTAGCTCAAGCTCCATTGTTCATAAGTTTAAACAACAGCCACGAAACATTTCGTAACACGCCGAAAGACAATTCTAACAGTCATTTTTCACTTTGTGAATACATGCTGCACTATGCGCAAATTAAACAAATGTATTTCACACTAGCATTAAAAGCTATTGCGGCGAGCTGGCGTGTACTGTGCATAAGTTTGTGCAATCATTGTAACGCATCATGCGACGCACAAAAGAACGGTTATAACACATTTGGCAACTAATTGACAGCGACTTTGTTGTTTATGCATGTTACACTACACACATGTTAAAGAAATGCCTTCCACACGTACATTTGAACTACGGCGCTAAATTGGATTGATTGAGGTTTAGAGGGCGCTTGAACGACCGAGGTCATTGGCGCCCGTTTGACAGTATGTTTTTAAAAATTAAATAGATTTAATAGAAGGAATGTTGAAAAAGCAACTTGCCCGCTGATTAAAAGCGTGTACATTGCCTATAAAGAGGGCTTGAATTCCGTATAAAATATACGAGTGGACAATAAAAGTCAAGACGATAAAGCGAACAATTGTTTTTTATAATAAACGTAGAGCTGGCTGTAAAGGGGCCAAGAAACATACATTATTGTCCTTATCTCAAATAAAATTATACATTCCGCTTTCTTAAAAAACAACAAATAAGAAGCATTGAGAGCGCGGAATCGTCATCGCCGAACACCTCCCGCCCAACCGTAATCCAAAACTTAGCGTATGAGTACTCTATATAACCGCAATAGGGTTATGCGATCGGCTCCCCATGACGTACCACTCAGCATACGAAGATGGTTAAAGGTCGGAGACACATCTGGTCTACGGATAAGAGCACGCCACTCGAGGGATTTGTCAAGCGTTAGCCCCAGGCATATTCTGCGAATGGAAACTGATTTCCTCCCTAGTAAAGAAGTGGATTACTATGCATGTGGTAAATCCTGTAGAAATGCACACCAGAACATTTAGTAGGAGAGAAGTTAAAACCTGTTGACTTGCTCCATTCGTGGAGCTTGTTGAGCACCAGTTGAAGTTGCCTCTGGAACACATTGATTCTGCTGAACGAACATAAGATGGCGAAATAATAAACGAAGAAAATTCGAAAATATGCTCTTAAGACAACATGAAGCTTATTTTGTCTAATAAACTTGCTAAATTGTTTTAAAGTGAAAGTTTTGAAGAACTAATATACATGAATACACATCTTTCTTGTCAACAATGTCATGAGGTCAAGAACACGTATGTAATGAGGGTCTGACAAAAATCAGTCAACGTTTGAGAACAAGAGTCATATATCAACGAAACAAATTATCCAAACAATGTTTAGTCTCCATAATAATTAAATAGCTGGACTGCAAAAAAGTCATCAAACGAATTACTGATTTATAACTAGCATATGCTACAAAGAATACCCATTCAAATCTTGAGCCGTAAATGAAAACATTCCAGTGAAAAATACTTTCTGTTACAAACCTAATTTTGTTACTAGATACCACACTCGATGTCTAACGTACTACGATAAAATCAAGGTGTTAAGAACATACCGTAAATTAGAGCAAGTATATGGTAATTTATCACTCATAATTAAAGTTTATAGAGAACTTTAATGAAAGTATTGGTATAATTTTCATTTGACTATTTCGGTTTGACGATCTTTAAGTAAGCTCCAAATGGTAGTTCACCAGAGGAATGGTACCAATTTTGTCGAAGACCACAATGATGAATAAATCAAGAAATTGAAGGGCTCAGTAGGATAAGGGGCTATCGCACATTTTTTGTGAAATTGAGTTAATAGTATACAAAACTTCAAATGTTATTTAAATCAAGTATGGACTTATATGCAAAGGAACTGTGTTTATAAGTTAAAAAATGTATTGAGGTGGGAAGTTCAAGTAAAATCCTCATTATCTCAGAACTATGGCTATGTGGGATAGTCATTTGTTCTACCGAGTCCCGTCATTTTATGAAAACGAAACATCGCCGGCCTTCATGTGAAGGTTTATATCAATCCTAGCCTCAATTTGACAAAGCGAGTTGTCATACACGAGGTCTTCGTGACAGAAAATAAGTTGAAACGTTTCATCGTGGTTCAAGGCGTTATAGATATGTACAGGATTCAGCGAAAAGGAAGATCTCCCTTTACACCCTGATCCTTACTTTGGACTGCCCTTCTCTTCCAAAACGATTTTATAAGTTTCAGTGCACCTGGTGAAACCTGCGCTGTTGTAAGTGCCGGAAATTCGCAAACACCGGTCGGCGTAATATATCTGTCCACCTGTGTGTGTGAAATGTGGGGAAACTTCCTACAATAAAGAACCATTCTTATCACAACACTATTTAGCATCAGAAAGAGTTACCAACTGGCGGACGTACTATGGAGAAATGTATTCTGTGCACGTTAGTTTAAAATCCTATGATCCCTACTAGTGCGTTTCATTCGAGCATTATACTCGAGTAAGCTTGCTACACCAAAGAGTTATCTATTTGGCCGTTGGATGTCACTGAGTTGCGACAAGCCCTCATTCGGTCGAGTATCCGTTGCTTGAATTCATTCGAGCATCTGATACTCGATCGAGTATGCTATACTCGAAATCAGCTCGAAGTGCTTCTAGGCGGACAGTGATGGAGAGTGAAGGGAAAAAGATGGTAGATAACAAACTTCACAGCAGTGAATACAAGCCAAAGATAAAAGATGTGAGAAGTGCAGTTTGGAAACAGTTTTTATTAGTTATTATTTTTATTCATTATTATATTAGTAATTAGTTATTGTTTTAATAAACATCTCTTGTCGCATTATTACTTGAGCAAATGTATAATATTTTATTGATCCATAACGCCAACAAGTATGAATCCTTAAGCAGGGTAAAGTTCATAGTAGTTGGCGTTCTTAAGACTGATTTGCGTATTTCAACATGACTAATGATCTTCAAAACTTTTCTACTTAAGTGTAATTAACATTTTTTCTTCAAAATCTATTTACTTGTCAAGAAATATGTTTAAACATTGAAAAAAGAACTATAGAACTAAATATGGAAAAATTGCAAAAGTCGGAAATTTCACGTGAGCACCGTAGTTAGCAAAAACAAAAACGCTTTTTTAAAATAATTATTTTCACATAGAAACATTGCTTTTTAATTGACAAAAAAATAATGCATAATAAAAATAATCTTAAAATAAATTAACGTACAACACTGTTGTGCATTGAACTGACTTTCGAATAGTTATGTATTTTCTGTGCACGTGGTAAAGTATTGGGACAAAGTTTAGATCGAGATGTCGGCCAGTAGCTTTTACCGTGAGAGGGCAGGTAGTGCAATGTTTTGTAAATTATCTGAATAAACACACAACAGTGCATGCCGGTACCGAGAAGATGCCTGCTGAACTTTTGATGAGAAGAAAGCTGCGAACCGAACTCGATGAAATGCATCCATGTGCATTGCGATGGAAAAAGCAAACAAAGTAACGACACAGAAACTGCGCTCGTTTGAGATTGTTGATTTGGTTCATTTCCGGTATTACAATCCGATTGGTCAAAAATGGTTGCAGAGCAAAGTTCATGACTTCACGGGAACAGTCTCTTATACCATTCAACTACCCAATGGAAACATAATCAGGCGTCATGTGGATCAACTGAGAAGAAGAATCGAGGAAACTCAAGATGACCAGAAAGAACACATTGTGAATAAACAACAAACCAAAACGAACTCGCAAAGGATTCCTGTCCCAGCTCAAATCATTAAGTCTCATGTACTGGGAAATATAGTATCTATTTAGGAAGTCTTTTATGAGGCAGTACCATCATTGGATGTTCTCGTACTATAGCCCCTGCGTAGAAAATGAAAACATCATAACATCATTCATAAACATTTCTTCATCCCGTGTGCGCTAATACTCTAGGATTATTGATTATTATTTATTTATTTATTTATTTATTTATTTATTTATTTATTTATTTATTTATTTATTTATTTAGTTAGTTAGTTAGTTAGTTAGTTAGTTAGTTACTTCATCCCATTAAAAATCCTGACTGGATCTTTCAGTGTTTCACACACTCCTTTCAAAACCTCTTCAATTGATGAAATGTATCCTTTTAGGTTAGCTTCGGACACACAAGCACTGGCAGGAGTAACATCTTCGCTTATACTTCAACTTCTGGATGCCTTCTTAAGAATTTCCTCATCCGGCCAGGACCAGGTCTTCTGTCGATAACAGATTTTTCTGTCTGGCTGATTTTGTAAATACTCCTGAACACTCATAATTATTTCATATCGACGCCTCGGAAAACCTTTCCTAGCCGAATCCAGAATCTACTTTACGATTATTTTCTCTTCGTAAGAAAGTAAGAACAAGGCCCATCACCTGGCGTTTTAAATGTCTCTGACAACTTGTACTGTCGATATTTTCACATTATAATCTATTGTGGCTCTCATTTTCGACGTAACTTTACGTTACCTCAATAGCCTTTTGCATTCTTCCTTCATAATCAGATATTTTAACAAAACAACAACAACAACAACAACATAAAATCCTCATAGATTTGGACTAAATGATTCAACTAATAGTGCCAACTACTATAACTCAAAACTAATGTTTCTATATTCGGCACCTGGTGCCAATCCAAGAAATTGGTGTTTTTAGTCACAGTACTTGGGACCCATAAAAATACTTATTATCGTGCCTAAAATGACCTCAAAAGTATAAAAACATATGTAGAAACGTATTAGAGATATTAAATACAAAGCAATTGATTGACATTTGTAAACACTAAAATAAAAACACAAAAAGAAAAGGCATGTTCTTAACTAGAGCGGCGCCACCACACCGGTTGCTTTCTGACGGACAACTACAGCTCGGCCTGTCCAGCCAACTGTAGACAGGGCTCCCACCTCCTGGATGCTGAAAAGTAACAAGGTCGATATATTTAGAAAATGATGAAAATTAATACGAGTCGATTAATCAAGTATATCCCTAAATGTACCCAAAAATGTCCAAGCAGTGCCCTTTACCCTATCAAATATTGTAAAATGTTATTTGCATGCATCTACTTCCTACAATGTTTGCTGCCAATAGTTTTTATACCTTTCAGTATGGGCAGGTAGTGAGCGCGAAACGAAATGTAAATTGATCATTATCATAAGAGTGATAAGTGGAAAATTTACACACTCTTTCGTAAGTTATCGACCCACGCCTTGTGAAGCGACGCTCATTTTTCGATTTGTGATTGGTTGGTTATCTTGTTTCCGGTGCATCTGCGAAACTGCGTCATACGTAGGCCTTGCCACGCCGCACTTTTGTAATTCCCTTCTACAATTGTTTTGAAGAAAGGTAAAATATTTACCATGTGAATTTATCACATTACTTATATTCTTGTTTTGTATTATATTATTATTTTTATTGTTATTTTGTATAACAGATATTAGTTTTATAATAGTTTATTTCGACCCTACGTATTGGGTGTCTTCTTCACGAAATCTAAAATATGATACAAAATAAGTACAAATAATGGTACATAATGAGACTAATTATGTCTATAATATGGTAAGTCAGTTATAGGAATAATTAGTTACTTTTGTACCATTATTTTTACTTAGTTCTTATCATATTTAGATTTGTTATGTCTGTTACTTTTGGACTTAAGATTAGTTCTGTATTACATTATGAATATTTTCGAAATAAGATTTCTAGAATAAATAGTAATGTTACACAATATTTTATTTACGTAGATTAAGTTCTATTTAGAAGTATATCATTGTTACGTAGTTAGGCGAAAGAGCGGGCCTGATGACCGGAGTCTCGCCACATTAATAGTCACTATTATTATTATTATTATTATTATTATTATTATTATTATTATTATTATTATTATTATTATGTTTATTTATAATTTTGGAAGGTCATGATTAAAATATTAATAAATATTACCATATTATTAAAATATTACGTAATTCTTAACATTCAATGAAACTTCATTGTATTACCCCTATGTGAAGATGAATTTGAATAATACTGAAATAAATCATATTGCCATTTGCATTTAATTACGATAACGGCGTCCTTCCCTTCCGACACTTGAGTAATGCGACGCTCCTGCCTTATGTACTCGAGGACGGGATACTCCAGCGAGTAAAATTGCAAAGATGCAATGCTCTAATCCCTACCCTAATCCATACAAGTTAAATTGTGAATAGTACAGAAAGAAATAAGTGTTTTTGGCAAGAATTGATAAGAAAATATTCGCTCCCCTGTAAAATATGAAAAGACAAATTTGACAGGGGGGCCCTTGCGCATCGTATCGGACTTCAGCCAGTGAGCTTCAGACACCAGTTTTCGACACATTATTAAGGTGGCTCTACACATGCGGTATTCGGCGAACCCCGAGCAAACGCTCCCCAAATCCCGAGTAGTGTCGACGGGTTGCTTGCGATTCGCCGAGCGCCGAACATTCGGTACTCACCCTATCCACCGCGTGTCGGTCTTTAGGACTCATCAAAAGAAGCGAACATTCGCCATACACATCAGCTGTTCGGGAATGGGCGATCACTAGCTTGGTGCTCGGCGAATGCCGAAAGCGAGGAGCGGCCTTTAGCGGCAATTTTAAATGAAGCCAGATACTTAAAGTATCACATCACAAGACTCTGAAACATATTTATTAAGCATTTCTTTTAAATATTGCAACTTGAACACCTTATCGTGTTATTTATGGTTGGTTTCTCTTAAAAATTGTCACTTTGTACTACTTTCAAAATGTTTCTCAGCACTTGTCGCTCTCCATGCAACATGGCGGCCACCGTCTAGTCTGGCTTTTCAAACAGTGTGTTTCAAACGAAGTGCCCGTGCTGTGGACACGTGGTTTGTGACGGAAACTAGTGTTGCGTAGAACAGAGCAAAATTCGGAACGCCGGAGGTCATGTATTTGCCCAAGCCTACAAGCAATACGTTACAATAGATTTGGGCTATTATCCCTCATCGTGCCCTTTGTGAAGGAATCGACTTACTACCGCGAAAATTTGAGTAACTACAATATTTTGCACACAACTCTTAGAGAACGTGTTCAGTTAGTGAAGTTACATTCACTCAAAGGATCATGGAAACTGGCCGAAAAAAACTGATAACTGGGTCATTGACTGCGATGACATACATGCGGCAAACTCCAACTAGTGCCCGATCGTCATTAAAGGAGAGAAAAATACAAAAAATTAGGATGACTGAGAAAGTTTCATTTCAAGAAGCAAGAAGGAGAAAGCTGAAGGTGAACTTGCACACACACTATCTGAAAATAAAATTATTAATAACTTCTTGCTGCAGGAGTCGTTGAATGCGGTTTACAATACTATTAATACAAACGATAAATTTTTCGACACATTTCATTTTAATACATGCTAGCCACTTAAAAAAAATGTGGAAAAGCTACACTTTGATAATACAAAGGAGTAGAACATGTAAAACTAAACGAATATTTATTTAATTACTAAGCGCTATTACGTATTTCATGATTATCACATCTACTTGCAAAAATACAAATAATATTTAACAAAAGTCATAAGGTAGGCTAAAATCATTAAATATGATCAGGATTTTTGAACGCTAAAAACAGAACAAAAGCGATGTGGAATACAGGTTATTCTGAATTTGTTACCAAAAAGTAACACGAAATCATTTTGGATCACTTTCAGCCCATTTTAGGACCTAAGAAAAAACCATCAGTCCTTTTCAGGACTAAACTCTTCAAGTCCTTTTTAGGACTTCCTACTTATGTTCTTTTTAGAGCAGTTACTTTCTTCGGAAAGAGCATTTTCAGTGCTGGAGAACGACTACGGCGTTCAACGGGAGCGGTCCTGCCCGATTTCGGATCAGTTTTGAACGGTTGGTATTTTCAACCAACGGCGCCTCGGATTCGACAGCACCCGAGGGTCTTGCCGCGTTTCATGCCGCCACCAACACCACCGCTGCAACTGCATCCGCCGCCGCTTTGGCCAAATGACGCCTGGACAAATCCCAGGCGCCGTTAATCAGCAGGATTTCCCTGCCATTCAAACGACCCCTTTAGAGGCCAACAATAAGAGCAAAGCCTCACGCATTGCTAACGCTCTCGATGCCGTGATGAAAGCCGACGAGGACGGATGCCTTGCTCAGTGACGACCGATCAGGTTGCGATCTTCGCGGCCAACCTGCTGAACAACCACAGTTCAGTAAAGCCGCCGCCAAGAACAGGCTTTCCGACTTTTACTCTCGCCCATTTTGCGCTCAGCCACTACCCGCCGACGCCGACGCCTTCGACGACACCTCGGGCAAGGGCAAGAAGCGCCGCCTTCCAGGCGATACGCCTGACGACGCCACCGCCTCACGCCTTCCACCTGGCAGCTTTCTAGCTCTGCCTGCGAGTGGGGAGAAAATGCAAGTGGACAGTATGCCCGTTGAGAGCTCCGCAGCCGCCGCCGTCGTGACCCGCCGGTGGATCCAAGCAACTTAGAATCAAGGCTGGCAAAGCAGGACGATGTATCGGCAAAAGACGATCGACGCAGAGCAAGAGTCCAGGAATAGTACAATTTGTTGAAAGGGGTTAAACAGCTTCTAGAAGTGATTCCTGGGACCAAAGTCTTCATCAAAGACGCTAAGAGATTCGGGACGGTGATACGAAGGGCAAAGGAATCTCGATCATACATTATACAAACTGACACAAACTGAGTCCGACGAAACAGATACACATATTCCCAGTAAAGCCAGAAGACACCGAAGAGATACGCTCGCCAACGAGATCGACAACACCCATGAAGCCCATGAAGCGCGCATACGACGGACCCCCTGACGATACACCTGCAAAGAGAACAGCCGATCAAGAAGATGGGTACCCGCCGGTGGAAGGTCAACGAACTCGGTCAGGACGTCTGTCAAAACCACCACAACGTCTCAAACATTAGTCTCGAAAGAGGGAGATGTTGTATGATAGACAAAGCGCCTGAAACTACCGCCTGACTGCAGGCCGCTGGACAGACACGCTGGACGCAGGACACGCGGCGACGAAAATGCTACGCTCGTCTCCTACTCATAATGTGTATTCCAAAGTTCGCTATATAAACGCCATTCTGATTGAGTATCATTTGTCGTTATTCATACGCCAGTTCTAGTTCCGAGCCCCAAATCCATGCGACATCATTCTTCAATAAGATGCGTCGTGGAGATGTCAATTGTGATAGACGTGGAACGGATTTTCCCTAGTAATCAACCATGACCACCCCTCTTGTAGTTCTCCATTCTTCGGTACTTAGAGCTTCTTTATTGTGTCGACTTTTGTCTCATTTATTTCACGTCCTTTATATGACAAGACATGGCCCCAAAATTATTCCTCTGTACCTTTAATGAGCACTTTTCTTTATTGAGTTTCAAGCCATTTTCATGCAGTCTTCGGAGTACTGTTCCAGTGATGTCTCAAAGTTTGTGCTCTGTACTCGCATCAATTAGTAAGTCGTCCATTGCGGATTTTACGTTTGGAATGTCCTGTAGAACTTTTGACATAATTTGCTGAAATACCTCTGGAGCTGAAGAGATACCAACTGGAAGTCGCCTACAGGAATTACAGATCCACAGTGTTGCTACCGTTAAGTATTCTTACGTTCTCTCGGTGACTCTTATTAGCCAAAAACCTCGAGAGCAGTCTAAACATGTTAAGTACTTATTACCGGCAATGGATTCAATTGTGTTTAATGGAAATTGTCTTCTCTCAATAATTTTGTTCACGTCAGTAGGATCGATACGCAGGCGAATTTTGTCCCTTTTTTTTTGACGATCACTAGAGAAGATACTGCTGTTGATCGCTATGTAATTCGTTTAATAACGCCAATTTTAACAATTTTGTCGAGCTCCTGTTTTACTGCTTCTTTTATGCTTAATAGACTTTAGAACAATGATTAGTATAAAAATTCGTTTTGTGTAATGACGAAAGGAAATTACCCATTTTTATATGTCATTTGTTTTGTATTTTTCATCGATTTCGATTAATAAGTCATTTTTACCTTTATACGTCATACTAATGCATTTTCGTTGATTTAGTTGATTTTAATATCATTTTAATGGTACTTGCTTCAAACAATATTTACGAGGTGCAACGAATATTCACTACAGAATTCCTGAGTAGCCAATTCAATTTTTTAGCTCTAGCTAGTGATGTTTATCGACGCCATTATCTGTTCGACTGATTTTGCGATAAATAATGACAAAGATTTTCTTTTAAAGAACAGTCCAAACCCGAAGTTCACAAGCTGAGTTCACTTGAACAAATGGAAGAAGCCTCAATTACATCAGTAAAATATCCAACAGCTTGAGTTGTTCATCTGAAGTGGTTTTGATAACTTTTTATGGGCATTTTTAAAGAGCATTTTATTGATAATTTTTGCTAATGTTTTATTTCATGAAAATATGCCTCCTATTGATCACAAATTTGATTTGTGGGGGAAAACTGAGTTGCTGATAGTAATGAAAGCTTATAACGTCCGACTGACGTACCGACGCGGCATGGGTTTCGAGGGGGGACATTAAATTTTGCCAAATTTTACATTACGACGCCCCTACATGTTCGATTTGGACGGTTCACACGGCGTTGGATTCATGAAGAATGTCGCCTTTGCGTTACAGGCCCTCATTTTTTTAATATTCTTTCTGGAAGTACGATTTCTGGACTCTGTCCTTGTTCGTTTTCAAAGAAGAAAGGCGTCACCCGGACAGCCAAGTAAATACTTCGTGGCTTCTCCCCCTTCCCACAACAGTGCCGGCGCCGCGAAAGCCACCTTCACCAAAGGCGACAGTTACAAGGGCTGTTTCAGGAAATATGGTTTGTTTAATTTAAAATGACATATCAGAATATCTAATTTTACACTCAAATTAAAATCAAAATATTAACACAATATGATACAGCATTATATATATAATTCCATTTAAAAAACGAAGATAATTGAATTTCTCGAATACTAAAAGTATTTCAAACAATATCTCTGTTGCATATTACTTGCCCCATGATTCCGCACTGTTCAGCGAATACTGTATTTCGATATCATGAATTTTAGAGCTTATGGGGGTCGCCCATAGTTGGTGCAATATTCAAATTTTTGTTTTACTCAATATAATCTAATCTTCAGGCATAGTTTGTGATTGATCATTCATACTCCATTAATGGGGATTTTGTCATTAGAAGTTAGAATTGTGAAATCTTTTTTTCTTTAGTTTTTGTTTTATTGATATTTGATATTAATTATCAAAATGTGCATGAATTAGCATAGCATTTATTACTTTTTTATGAAGCTGCAGCAAACGCATATGATAAGAATAGGTACTTTTAATTTAAATAAATGAAACGGTACAGCAGAGAGTATATATCGGTACACTCTCGACAGAAAATAGTGATAATACATGCTATCTCAGTAGACAGTGAATAACACTAATTTTGTCAATTGAAATTTAACACTTCTGTAACTGTATTTGTATCCCATCACTAACGTATTATTACGTCATATTCCAAAGTAGTGATTTTTATTGTTTACCATGAGAATCCTGCCTAATGAGAGCATAGATTAAGACCAATATCTATTCATCCATCAGTGTGAAAAGGACTTTAGAAATCTTTAGGATTAATTTCATCCATCACATTGTTTGCCAACTTAACAACTTTTATTGTTTCTGTTTACTCTATGGTGGGTTGGCTATTTCCGTTGCCGATTCTGCTTTTTCCGGAAGGTGACAGTTTGTCCAACTAGAATGGTCGGTGTAGTGGTGCTGTACTTTTTGTGTAGTTGAAAGGTTGTTTTATTTCGTTTAAAGAATTAACAAACCTGTTTTATTTCCTCCAGTTAGTAGAATGAGAAGTACGGCGTTCTAGTGCATGCGTGATTGTATTAAGAATTTAAATTCTCTGAGTCTGAAAGGAAGTACTGCACTAGCTAGTGTGAGAAAATGGCTGCTAGTGATTCCACTGGTGATGACTCGTTGTATCCCATTGCTGTTCTCATTGACGAATTGAAGAATGAGGATGTTCAGGTGAGATTTATTTAATTGCTAAAACATACCAATTAATCTTGTACAAATGCCGATGTAGAAAACTGCTTTCTTACGTGTACGTGAAAAGGTAGGAATGGGTTCAGATTCAGTGAAGTAAAGTGAAGAACTAAAAGGTTAATTGGAATCAATTAATTCTTGTCATAAAAAAATATTGATGGTAGTAATAACATGTCTTTGTTGTAGTTACGACTGAATTCCATCAAAAAGTTATCTACTATTGCTTTGGCTTTGGGAGTGGAGAGAACAAGGAGCGAGTTAATCCCATTTTTAACAGAAACTATCTACGATGAGGATGAGGTTTTACTGGCGCTTGCTGAACAATTTGGAAATTTCACCCCATTGGTTGGAGGTCCAGAACATGTACATTGTCTTCTGGTGAGTTGATGTTGGTTGAATCATTGTATATTCTGATCTGTCAGAAATGTATTTGTAATATTCGCTTAGTTTTCAAAACTTTTATGAAAGTTTAGTGTAGGTGGTAGGTATTGGAAGTCTTAGGTTAGAATAAATTTATTTAAGATATTGATATTAATTATCTAAACAAGCATGAATTAGCATAGCATTTATTACTTTTTTTATGAAGCTGCTGCAAACTTTCTTTTTGCTGCAACAAATTGAATTATTGCTATTTAATGCTGTTACTAGTTGCCAGAGAGACAGACAGGTCAGGCAGCTTTATGTACTTGTTGTGTGATGTATGATTATTGTCTGTTACATCCACAGGAAACTAGTCATTGCTTGACATTGAGAAATAAATTTGTTTTTGATAAAGTAATATTCATCACTTTTGCTGTTTTTATTGCATTAATAAGTTGGGCAGGCACATTTTACTTTTTTTTAACTTAATTTAAGAATAATCTTTAACCAAATATGCTTGAGAGAATTTTAAAAACTAGCAAAATTGCTTACTAGAATAATTATTTTTGAAATGGGTTGAGGAATTGATTTTGGAAAATACCAAGTGTCTAAGGACTTTTCACTTTTTATATTAACATGTGCACTGTGATTTGTTGAGGACCCCCTGGCTTTAACACAGGAACCGTGAGGTGTTGTTTCTACTCCTGGCTCCCTGTAGGTCCTTGTATCTTCATATTTTTTACATATAGAAATACGTCACTTTCTGACTTCATTTTTGTTTTTAATTTGTGGTCATAAATTTGTTTGAAACATACTTCATGAAAATTTATCGAATTTATATAGAAAGCCCTAGAGGTAACGTTTTCCACTCTTTGGGTAGTGATCCCGTTCTGTAGCTTCTGTTTCATGTGAAAATTGTGTTCAATGCTGAAAGTTGTCAAATGTCTTCTAATATTTTGGATACCTTCTGAAGAAATATGCCTGCATTCCTTCCAGTTTCCATTATTTTCTGATCTACGTGTACAAGTCATGCAAATTGATGGATCAGTTTTTTCACGAGTACAGTAAATATATCACTAAGTTTCTGAAAACAAATTATCAGATAAAGGAAAAGCACTGTTATCACATGAAAGTTTAATAATGAAATATTTCTTCAAATCATTCAGATAAAAAAAACATGTTAAGAGTTCAGACGAGTACTTTGGTGTACAAGAAGATTCTTTGGACAGTGATGTGGGAAGAAAATCTCGGGTGTTTGGGAGTCACTGTCTTGTTTCCTGATTTTCATATTAATAAATGAGGTTTGGGAATGAATTGTGGGCGGCTTTCACTCAAAAAATTATTTTGCTCTATTATGAAATGTTATATTTATAAACTGACATAACTTATGTGTCTGAGTAATAGTTGATATACCGGCTTTTTTCCAAAGTCTATGTTTGTACACTGTTCATGGCGTGAAAACTGGACGAATGTAGTGTACACTTTTGCCTTGTGGTGATAACAAATAGTGCTTTTCCAAACAATGGAAATATTGTTGAAGACAGTGCCACGAAATGCCTGGAAATGTAGCCATGAACCTTTTCGTAAGGATACTAAGGAAGTATTGATCAAAGACTGAGTTCTATTCTATAAAATGTGCTTCAAAACTGTGGTCTGTACAAGTCTTTACCATTTTGAATCTTCCAACCTTACACACATTGATACTGAATGCATAGTAAAGTCAGCAATATTAAAAGTTAATTTAACGAAAACCTGAACAAAAACCTAGGAGAATCATTTGAAACTTTGAGTATTTTTTTTTTAAATCCGTCTTAGGGGTCATTAAGTTCCCATCAATGAGAAACTAAAATGTGTACAAGAAATTTGTTAAATAAAGTATGTGACATTCGCGAGAGTAGTATATGGAAAGTCCAGTGCAAAGGAATTAAATTTTTGTGACGCATATGAGACTTGTATTATTTAAAATTTAATATCTATACCATTTGTCTATCCTTATTACTACAATATTTTTCATACATGAGTTAGTTTTCCACAATCTTTCTTTCTGTTTACTTACTCTCCGGTCAGGATGTTCCTCCTTCCATTCTGCATAATGTAATGGCAAGAAACCTACATATATAAGATATGTTGTAATAATTCTAATAAACTATAAATTATTCTTCTTAATAGTGTTTTAGTGATCTAGATTGATATATTTTACAATATTTCTTCTGAAGTAATGTTGAAAGTGTGGAATTGAAACTACTCCATTCAGTGTTCTAGGAGGTATCAATAAGCTTGGCATTTTAGTGGTGACAGTATTATTCAGTATTACACTTAAATTTGGAAATTCAGAGCCATACGAGGTACCCTTTAACACTGGACAGTGCACATGAAGTAAGATGTAGCGAGCATGTATAATTTTAATTTCAAATACGATATTAAGAGTGATCCATAGCTATTTGCTAAGTATGAGTTACCTTGTTCTCTTTCAGTGTATGAAGAAAACTAAGCTTTGATTAAATAATATGAACTCTGTTCATTGTACTCAATCAGAAGGTAAATTGTTTTCCGGGGATTAGTTTTTACAAAATCTTCATGGGATTTTGTAATTAGGTAGTATTGAAGGATTCATTTTATTACTTCAAGGATAAAGACAAATTTTTCAAACATTTTGAAAGTGCACATGTAAGAATCCATATATTTCAAGTCTTTGTTTGGATGTGTCATGCAAAATCTGGAAAATGTCTAACCAAAAAATCTTTAGGATCAGCCAGTCAAGTCCAGTGTCCAATGTCTTGATTTTTTTATGAAGAATTTTTCATTTATGCTGAATATAAAAAAGTATTTATTATTTGTTGATTTATAGTTTATATTTACAACTTAAGAAATTGATCTATTGAATGAATATTCAGAAAATTAATAAAGGCTATATTTTTTTAGTATGCATCATTGGCTCCTGCGGGTCTGAAGCCCTTTGAACCTCTCCCATCCTTGGGAGCACCATTAATGTTTATTGTTGACACAATTGTAAATACATTTTAAAGAATATGCAAGTTTGTTGTACCAAAATACTTTTTCATTAAATAGTTAAAAACGGGAAAATAATCATAAAAATGTGATAAAATTTGAACTTCATTCTTTCACAAATTTTAACTCTTAAGACTTTCCAGACTCCCCTAAAGACAATGTCTAGCTGTCACTATATTTTAGTTTCATGAAAACCTTTGTATTTGCTTAGCAAGTGAATGGTCATTGACAATATTCCTACTATTTATTCATTATGAATTATCTTGTGCCATATCTTTGGATGTTGACACTTGTGTACTAGACGTGAAAAATCTATAACTTTGTTAAAAAGGTTAGTGGGAGTCTTTCCCCTTCAGGCTATAGAATTTAATTGCTTATGTAACTGTTTGTGCATCTGGATCAGCTGTCATATAATGCATTGTAATTTAACATTATTTTTTTTAACAATACTCTTTTTAATTAAAATTATTTGTTTAACTTATACCATACCACTTGTAAGATTTAAAAAAAAGTATTTGTATTGTGATGACTAATGTGATTGTAATGTCGTGCGTAACAGATAAAACAGAAATTCATTAAAGTTTTAATTTGAAAGTCAAAAGCTTTCTTCTAAACAATTTATGATCAAGAAAAAATGATGAAATGAAATTTTAATGTGAATTCAATTTATGTTCCATTTGCTTATTTGGCAATGAAAGTCACCTTTAAAATTAAGTAAAAATGTTTTAAGTGTAATTTTTGCTGAAAAAAAAAAAACGTGGGTTGATATGATAAAATGATTCTTAAAATTCTTCGATAAAAGCAAGCACCATTTTTTGAACAGATAGGTCATAACATCGTTAAAAGTGTGAACTAAAAATAAGTTCTAAAAGTTGGAATTGTTGCTATTATGTAGGCCAAGTTGGTGGTTTTTGTGTTGGTGTTATAGGCAATTGTAGGTGATAAAACAATGTAGGCTTTCACGGCTGGATATATTATTAATAATAGGTTATAATTAAGAGTTTTTGTTATCTATACAATAGAGAATTCTTGCCAATTGTTATCTGAAGGAAATAACATCTCTGAAGCCCCAATCTTAGAGTAAAATCATCAAATTTGTGGAAATAAACTATTTTAAAACTAAGAAAATTGCTAACAAGTTTCATTTATTTGCCAGTGTTGAGATGTTAAGCAACTACTAATTTTTTTGTAGGAACAAATTTTAAAGATTTGGTAAACTGGCTAGCTTTTAAATTTTAAGAACAGTCTTTGTAATGTAATTTTCAAAGAAGTGCTTTATTTTGTTTTAAAAAATTTCACAGTACAGTACAGTACAGTACAGTACAGTACAGTACAGTACAGTGCAATTATCACAAGTTTCTATTTATGAATCAATTTAAACGGTTTCTTATTAGTTAATGGTGTTGGGTAGATTTTAAATATTTCAATGTTCTAAACTTATTGGTACTATAGAAAAATATCCTTTATTTTTCATTGCCATTCTGCAATCTATACTCAGTTAATTATTGGTTAAGATATTTTCTAATTTTGGTGGAAGGGGGTTTTCTTAGTTTCTTCTCAAAAAATTAAATTTAAAAATGATCCTTTCAGAACTGCTCAAAACTGAGCTATGTTACATTAGTGTTCGTTTTTTGTGGATTAAAAGCAATATAAGAATAATTTAGTATGTGGCAAATAGTTTTTTCCATTTGGGTATATTGTATAATATTGTCACAAGACCACAAGGCACGTTCTTAGTTACGTAAACTGTCAATGGGGATAATTACTTCATTAATTTGGTAAGGAAAGGAAACAAAATCTCAGATAAGTTGAGGATAAAAGTCAAAATAACCTCACAAAATACTTCAATGAGTTACACTGCAGAGTATTAGTGCAGGGTACAAATGATATTTATAAGCTTATCTCGAGGTTCATTTTAAGTAAAAAATTTAAAAACACTGAATTTGATATGATGACAGAATTTATCTTCCTTCAGTAAAACAAGGAACCATCTCAGCCACTTGCAAAGTTCGATGCAAAGTCTTAAAATTGTCATTACAATGAAATTAACATTTTTCAGTTTTGATGCGCTGTACAGACTGTGAGAATGAACAAAAAGTTATGAGAAAGAATACTCAACCAACTATGGTGATATTTGGTTATGTGGTTTATATGTAGAGTTCAGTCACATTTCAGTTCAGTTTCTAAAGACTGACATTAACAGTTTTGTTTAATGTTACTTATTTTTTATTGACAGCCAAACAAAATATAAGGAACATTAAACTTATAATTCAATTACATTTTCTTTAGCTCTTGTGGACTGGATGTTGCTACAACTGTTTGTATACCTTGATACCCATGTTTGTATGAACTAGTCCTAGAAGAATCTAGAATTCAGTGTAGCCTAACTAGATTTGTGATACAGACGAAACTAGCACTTGTTAGATTTCTATTGTAGATTTGATGTTGGCTATCAGAGTAATTTGATTAATAAGAAAGTTAAATTCTTTCAGCTTCCGCTGGAGCAGTTGGCAACTGTTGAAGAAACCGTTGTGCGAGACAAAGCTGTCGAATCATTGCGTGCTGTAGCTGCACAGCATAGCCCAAATGATTTGGAGACCTATTTTGTGCCACTTGTGCAGCGATTGGCTTCTGGGGATTGGTTTACATCTCGTACATCAGCTTGTGGCCTTTTCAGCGTGTGCTATCCTCGTGTAAACCCAGCTCTGAAAGGTAACTAATACATGGATCATTTGAGGATGAGAAATTTGCACATGAAGATTACATTTTATTGCTATTTATTTTCATTTGCAGGCGATTTGAGAGTGCATTTTCGCAATCTGTGCCAGGATGACACCCCAATGGTTCGTCGTGCTGCTGCTGGAAAGTTGGGAGAATTTGCTAAAGTGGTTGAAGTTGAATATCTGAAAACTGATCTCATTCCTATGTTTGTGAATTTGGCACAGGATGAACAGGTATGTTCCCCGAATTTCATGATTTATGGGATTTGTTGCCCATCAATGACAAAACAATCGCAGAACAGAAATGGCGTAATAAAAAGAGCTTTGACTGTGGTGGAATCATTGTTACATTAACCTTGCATTTAGGAACCATTTGTATCAGGGTCATATACTGTACTTGCTCGAATATGACCATCCCCTAATTTTGAAGAGGCCTCCTGATAATTTTTAAAATTTTAAGTTAATTCTTACTATAAGGTCAAAATAAAATTGCTAACTGTGTTATTGACTTGAAAATTTTGTTTTTGATGAGAATGCTAAGACTTAATATATATTACATAACTTGTCATTTCTCAATCTAGTTTGTTTACAGTTGCTTATATTTAAACTGTGCTAGCAAATTTTCCAAATTTCGTGTTTTTAATGCAAGCATATCTCGCGTGTACATCTTTCCCTCCCATCCTTTCCCCTTGTTAGCTGTAAGTTATTTAAAATGTAACCTAATCCCTTGTTCCGATTAGACAAAATAAACTACCTGATTTTTTTATTAGGAGTGTGGTAAAATACTGCTCAGAATATTTGTTTTTTTTTTTTTAGTTTTTGAATAAAGCAGGGAATACAATTTGAAAGTATTTAGATATAGTAATCGTTATACTGCAATTTCTAACATGTTGGAAATTTTTTGGTAATGTTTGTATTGCTTTAGGACTCAGTTCGTCTTTTGGCTGTGGAAGCATGTGTAAGCATAGCATCACTGCTTCAGCAAGATGATGTTGAGCAGTTAGTAATGCCAACATTGCGACAGTGTGCTGGTGATACTTCATGGAGAGTACGATATATGGTTGCTGAAAAGTTTACTGAGGTATTATGTTTTTGATTTCAAAAACTTTTTCAATCTCTTATCATTTTAAGCCAAAGTAATTTTAACATCTTCTTAAAACCTAACCTTTCTCTACACTAGCAATTCTGTTTAAAATTGCAAAGATACATATGTGTCGATATAGTTTGACATTCTGTAATGGTTTAATAAAGCATACTGATAATAAAAAATAAATGAAATATGACAGCTTACAAACTCAGGTTCATACTAGTTTTTCTCTTTACAGCTCCAAAAATCGGTGGGTACTGAGATCACTAAATCAGATCTAGTACCAGCATTTCAATTGCTCTTGAAGGACACTGAGGCAGAAGTTCGAGCAGCAGCGGCCCACAAAGTTAGAGATTTCTGTCAAAATTTGGATGCTTATCAACAAGAACAAATAATTATGAATAATATTCTACCTTACGTCAAAGATTTGGTTTCTGACCCTAATCAGCATGTGAAATCAGCTTTGGCGTCTGTAATAATGGGACTCAGTCCCATTTTGGGGAAACACAAGTATGTTTCTTGAATAGTATTGCTGTAGTTAAGTAAGATATAATTTAGATTTCATATAGCGAGTTACTAAAAAATTCTTATAGTTTGTTAGATGAAAGTTACTATTTAAATACATATTTTTAGTAAATATTTTATTAACAAATTTTTACTGACAGTTCATTAGCAATTAATATGTATTTATTCTTGTAACTGTACTACATTTTGACTTGGATTGGCATACTTTTTCTCCTTGGAAATAAATCTAGTATAGGTACATGGGAAGTCCTGCCTAAATAATAACTTCTTAATTAAGTGCTGAAAAAATGTGATCTATGTGCTGTCTCGGCAGATAACTAATGTCAATTTGAGTTCTTATTCTCATTGTTGACTCTTTCCTGAAATGAATACACAAAAGATTGTAACCTCAACCTTGTCAAGTGGTGGCAGTCAGTGTATTTGAACATAAATGTTTGAACGTTAAAAGTAATATTTTGTGTTCAGTAAATACTGTATTTACCCAAATGTAAGACAAGTTTTTTTTCCCCGAAATATCTGTCGAAAAGTGTGGGGTCGCATTATATTGGCAGATTAAGACTGGTTGGTTAGGATTTGTTTTTTCATTGCCATTCCGTTTCTCCAAATTTGTAAATGTTAATGTAACAATTTGCTGCAAAGCCGGTAAAAATATTGTGGGCAAAAATTCGTAATTACATTTGTGTTCATATTCTCGGCCATCCACTGTGAATTTGTCAGGCAATTCAGACCGATATTTTTGAATGGTCTTATAGAGAGAATCTCTAACCGAATGGCTTTGTGTCAAGCGAAACATAACATGAAAGTGAATGCTTAGAGTTTATTACATGATGCGCGTTCGCCGCCGCTGTATGGAAACTTAGTTTGACGCCTGGCAAATGCGAATTGTTTTGGACAAAAGCGGAGGCTATTGACAGTTGCAGGATGGATAGAAAATCTGGCGACAGAAGGGAACGTTCTTAGATGGCGTGTGACGAAAGACTATGAACAACGCAAATTTAAGTGTGCAAAACTCAAGAGAGGTGTAAAAGTTCAGATGTCACAGCATGGAAGTAGGACCAAAAAGAAAGAAAAACATTGATACATATGAAGGTAATGAGGGAAGTGACAAAAAACATATTAGGGAACAAGAAAATAATAGTTCAGCAATAAGTCTTCAATTCTCATCAACAAGGCAATTTTCTACTTGATAAGACATTTTGTAATTTTGTTTTGATTAAATGGTAACAATTAATTAAAATTATTAAAGTTCTCAGGAGGCCTTTTCAAAATTAGGGGAACGTTTTACATTCAAGGTCGACTTATATTATTGTAAATACGGTAATTAAGAGGGGTTGGTGTCTAATAAAACCCAATGGAAGGCAAAACTGCCCACTGGGCATTTTTTAAAAACTATTTTATGTATGTTAGAGTGAGTGAGTGTTCTTATTGATTCTCACAATTTTGAATTTCTAGCTATAAATTGAGCTGTATTCTTGTTTTCCAGTTTTCTTTCATTATCAGAAACCTACATATGTGTATGAGTGTGGGTGTGTTCATAAGTGTACAGGAATATATTTGTTCATCTGTCAAGGGTGGCCACTTTCTGGGGAAACTGTACATCAGAGAAATTCGTGGGTCTGGAAAAATTGAAGAATTTGTAATCTTTGGAAGTCGGGGATATTGTGTAACTGTTATATAACTGAGTATTATTCCTTTAAAAAATTAATTCAGCCATAAATAATGACTATTTTTATTCGTTGAATAATTTTTCTTGATTTGTGATTTAACACAGTGAAAGAGAGCTGGCAAATTAGTTTTATGCTTTCATATTTTTTGTGAAAAACAACAAACCTTATCAGTAAGAAAAAAAAAAAAAAAAGCTTTTGAAAACCAGGGAAAGGGAAATTTGTTCCAAGAAATGAATGGTTGCTCTGCTGTCGTTCTGTCTCATTCTGCCTCATAAAATATGCCACATTATTAGATTTGTTCTGATTAAGACTATCTCAGCAGTATATTTGTAATATTCAGAGGATAGCTGTTGAACTGTCGAATCGTTCTATGTTCCTAGTAATAGATTCAAGGTGAATGGTTAAGTGTGTGTGTGTACTGTGTTTTAGTTTATAAAACTTTCGAGAGTACATCAATGGATTGCTAATGTCTGAAAATGTTGGAAACTATTTATATCTTATAAATGCTAATAGTGTAGATAACAATACATAAAAAATGCCTCACAATTTGTTAGTATTATTAATTCTTGTATTTGTAATTTTCAGCACTATTGAACATCTGTTGCCATTATTTCTTTTGCAATTAAAGGATGAATGTCCAGAAGTGAGATTGAATATTATATCGAATTTAGACTGTGTAAATGAAGTTATTGGCATTCAGCAGGTTAGTTTCTGTTTCTTGCTAATATTGTGTGTACCTAGAGATTCATTTAACTAGTTTTACAATTGTCGTAAATTTCGTAAATGTTCATGTGTATTCTTTAGCAATAGCCAAATCAAAACAAAGGCACCCATCAGAAGTGTTGATAGGGTTATTATTAGAATGTAATATGGTGTAACATGCCAAGTTTGAATTTAAATATATCAGTTAAGTTGTCATATTATTTATAACTTGATGTCATTTCAACCCAATAAGATTTCGTACTCTTAATATCAAGTGCACTCTGAAAAAATTACTTTACACATTATTAAACGGTAGTAAGGCAGACAATTGTTTACCCTTCGATTGCTATGGTCGTGCCTAGAGCGAGTCATGTGGTATGCACAATACACATGGCTGCCAGTGCTTCTATTTGCTGAGTCCACTGTTGTACGTAGCTACTCACAGAAGCCCTAAGAATTGAATTAGTTTTTTCATTGGACACCTGGAGTGACATTTTGACAGTTTTAAATTTTTACTGTTTACTAGAATTATGGAGCTTTTACCCATTCTATTAACTTTAAACGAAAGACCGTTGTGATGGGAAATTGAAAGTGAAAGTTGTTTGGGTTGAAGCACTGCACTCTGAATGTCATGTTCAAAAATGCAGCAGAAAATGTTATTCTAAATCTTTCAAAACTCGTGAAAATTTCCCGGGGGAAGTGGGCCTGATCATAAAAAAAAAGCTAACTAATCCAAAGTCCGCATACGTTGTTTTTAAAATTTTAATTGATGGAAGTTTAGATTTCAAAACTAAAGGTCCGTGTACTTGATTTAAAATTTTATCACATTAAATAACCATGGAGTGGAAATTAATGTTTCGTTACATTCTTTTTCTCATTGCCCCTCAGAAATTCCTTTTAGTTTGCACATTGTGCTTGTGATTACTTTGTGAAGGTTTTGTCTATATCTTTGTACATATTATGCTTATTTTTTTTGCAGCTTTCTCAGTCGCTTCTTCCAGCCATTGTAGAGCTGGCCGAAGATTCCAAATGGCGTGTGCGATTAGCAATTATTGAGTATATGCCTTTGCTTGCGGGACAGTTAGGTGTTGAATTTTTTGATGAGAAACTTAATACGTTGTGTATGACATGGCTTGTCGATCATGGTATGTGTTCTTCACAAGGAAACACTTATATGAATTTCAAAACAAGTTATTGATCGAATATTTATTTTCCTTGCAGTTTATGCTATTAGAGAGGCTGCAACATTAAATTTGAAGAAATTGGTTGAAAAGTTTGGACCTGATTGGGCTCAAAATACAGTTATACCTAAAGTTTTGGCAATGTCTCGTGACCAAAATTATCTTCACAGAATGACATGTTTATTTTGCATTAATGTAAGTATTATATTTTGTACACTTTGAAGTTATTTGTATTAAAATTGGGAACAATAAATACATGTTGAATTTTAGGTTCTTGCTGATGCTTGTGGACCAGAAATCACCGTTAAACTGATGCTGCCTACTGTCCTTACAATGGCAACTGATAATGTAGCTAATGTAAGGTTTAACGTGGCTAAGACCCTCTTGAAGATTGGCCCTGTTCTGGATCCCTCGTGAGTAACTGACTTGCATGAAAATCTCACATCGTATTAGGGATCTGATAAGTCAAGGACGGATGTTTTAGATAAGACCTTTCCAAAACAATAATTATCATTTTCTAATGCTATAAAAGACCTTTTCTGAAATCCATTTTTGAAATGTATATCGCTAAACAATTGTCATTGTGTGTTAGATGTCATCTGTAACTTTGTGACACTTAGAGTAAAAATCATTACCCTAGGTAGCAAGTTACTTGAAAAGTTACCGTTAGAAGTGTTCACACATGTGCATGTCTTTATTTCCTGATTTAAAAAAATTAAATTTTTCTGCTTAAATTGGTAAACATATACTAGGGTTCACTAGCTTTTTGACGGTAGAACCAAAATATCTACTGTATAAAATGAAGGTAGGCCCATAAACTGCTAGGCTCTTTCTTCAAAACCAGGATAGGGTGGTCTTCTACCTTACAAAGTGCAGTTGATATAAGATTTGGTCCTTGAAATAAATTGGAATACCCAGTGTTCCATTGATGCCAAAGAGGTGTGGTATTGTCCTCCTGTAACTCATGTGCCCTCTATTAATTTCTCTTGTTTTTATTTTGGTAGATTTTGTCTCTACCGTAAGTAGTTGTGGTGTGATCTCCATCCATGCGCTTTCTTACAATTTTTTTTAGAACATTTCTTCAATTTCTTCAGTGTATTTTAACTCTGTGTTGGTGAGCTCAATGAATATGTGATTCTTTTGTTCTGCATTTTATATTGACATTCTAGCAAAGTAGGTCCAGCAAATGGTGCTGTAAAATTGTAATTTTTTTGAACTTCAGGCTTTTTATTGTGTACCATTGATTTGAAGTTGATGCAAACAATCTGGTGATAAGACTATCCCAAATTTAAAAAGAACTTATAAGAATGCTACATTAGTGGTGATTTTTCACACTTTGTGTGTAGATTATGTAGCATTATTGTTATCTTTCTATCACCACCCAAGCTGCTTCTAAAAAAGTTGATGGCATTCACTGTACGCCTAGCTCATACTATCCAACTCACTAGCTGCTGGTGCCTTTTGTGATCATTTGATCAAGATGTAGGTCCACAATGTCCATTTACCATATCAATGTATGAGATGGATTCTGTGGTAGATTCTGCGATGAAGCACTGATTATTAATCTTACGTTGATGAAGAAAAAACATTTTCGCAACAAATTTGTCTCCGGGAGTTAGTTGCATCATCATGGTAGATTTCTGAGAGTTGTTTTGGTATGCCATTGAAGTCTGAAGTGATCTTTTTTTAGACGGTTTCACAGACATGATGGTCCATTTGGACCTCAGTAGTTTGTGTTTTCACGGGACTGGAATCCTAAATCCACTACAATTTCAGTAAACAACATTTAATTCCATTAATATTAAAATAATATTGTAAATCCTAAAAAATCATTTAAATTAACAAACTTTTTTATTCAAAATTTAAAATCTTCAAAATCAATTATATGTTCAATAGAGTAGTTCAGGTGGTCTTTTTCAAATCAAAAGGTACACAATTAAGTTATTTTGTTACTCTTGAACAGAAAACTTATCGTGAAAACTTCGTTATATTTAGCCTTGGTGGCCTTTCTGTAATTATAAAATTGTCTAAAACGAAGATATACATGGAGTCGAAGTTCAATCTTCTGTCTTAACTTCAAGAGCACATCCTCACATATGTACTCACACACACTAACTTGCATTCACACACACACAAAATTAGTTGAAAGAGTGCCTGAAAAATCTCACACACACAAACCCGTTTACTTGCGCGAAGGCCCCAAAAATAGACCAGCTGACATGTTTGGCTACGTATGTGTATGACTTGCCCTTCAGGAGTACCCATTTTATATTGATTGCTTTGTGGAGAAAGGGGAAGCAGATACTCATGCCCCAGGCCTGGTCTGGCATCCGAGCAGATGCTGAAGCTTACACGGGCTCTACTACTATCACCAAGGTTTTGATGACGTCTTCCTACGCAGTTTATTTACTATATTGTAGTTTTATGTTATTTCTCTTGTGTATCTTGTTTTTAACGTGTACAGGACATCAATTTGTCCTGCCTGTTCACATATTGTGTAAGTAAATTAAAATTGAGTTGTACACATAGACAGCATTGCAGGGATAGAGTGTATGAAATTGGGACTGTTTAATGCTCATGCACAGCTGTGTTATAACCATTTTAGGTAGTTTTCCTCAAGGCCCCTCATTTACGTGATGAAGGTGCTTGGAGCATTATTGTTCGAATAATATTTCTGTGTATTTGACAGATAGTGGCTAACGGGGAAGAGGGGGTTTCGTTATCTAATCAGAGATTTCAAATTCTGCTGACGTCATTGCAGAGTTACTGATTCGTATTAAGAACGAAATGAAATCTTCCAGCGCAAAGTAACTGTGAACTAATAGTGCCATTACTTCTTTGGTTGTCTTCTACTGTTGTGTGCTCTTATTGCGATTCGTTTCTTGCTACTGTTGTGATCTGACGCAAGAATGACCAAGTCTTCTGCCCGAGTAAGTGGTAACATCGCTCTACCCTCACCCCAGCTGCCAAATAGACAGGAATATTATTCCGACTATAGTAAAACATCTGTTCTTGACATTGATTTGCTGATGAAGTATTGACATTTAATTAGTAATGTTCGTCAACATCTTGACCAATATTAGAATTTTTATTTTGAATGAGTGCTTTTGATGGTTTAGTCATCATTTCCATATGTGTGGAACCAGAATTTCACTACTATTCTCTTCAATTCTATTTAAAATGTACTATTTTATTTAACTGGTAGTGCAATTATGGCCCCCAGATGATGGTTGTGGTAATATGAATAAGTCATTGAAATTTAAGGTAAAGATGTCAACTATGATCCGTGACTGGTGCACTTGGAATGATGGCATTATATTGCTACGTTTACATTAGAAGGTGAAAGGTTAGTTTTGCCTAGGTTTCATTTTTTCCTGCTGCTGCTGCTGCTGAAACACACCTGAGCTATAGTACAGGTTGAGGGATTCAGCATATGATGGAAAGTAGCCCATTGAGGGGATAAAGGAGGGACTCCACTTCATAATGATTCAGAATCACCTTGGTTATCTTCCTCAGTAACCATTAACCTTACTCATCACTCCTGAGTATTTTTTGAAACTAAATTTAAAATGTTTTGTTTTTTTTTATTCTATTTATTTATTTATTTTACAGTTGTATCCAGTCCCAGGTAAAGCCAGTTTTGGATAAGCTCCATGTGGATAGCGACGTCGATGTTAAGTATTTTGCTTCAGAAGCCATTGCTGGAATAGCAGGTAAATTAGAGAGCCCTCCTTCTCCCAAGTTGTAACTGTTAATTGATGTTTGTAATATTTCCTGTAATGTGATGCATTTTATTTACCTAAATAGATTGTTTTTACTTCTCAAGTTGTTTTTATTTTTTACAATTGATTTCAATGAACTAACATCCTTAAACCACCCTACTCCTGTGTGTAGTTTATCATTTTGCATGCTGAAAGCTGTGTGTCAGTACATTTGTTCTTAACCTTTTCTTTAGTGAATTGTAGCTGTCAAGTGTAGTAATGAAAGGAAAGTGTAGTCTATTTCTCAATGAATCAAAGATAGTAAATATAAAAGTTAATGTGTTATTCAAGGTTACATTTTCAAAGTGTTCTACGTCATGAACGATTATGTCAGTCTTAACATGAAATATTAACATAAAAGTACACAAAGTTCATGCATTCACAATCTCATTAATGTAAATAAAAATCATTGCATTGTCGAGGAGAGGAATGATGAAAAGAATGCTTTAAGGGATAATTTTCATAAGGTGAAAAATGTAACTAGTACAGTCTTGTTTTGTGCTTTGTTTATTGTGCAGGACTCCTCCCGCAAAGGGCACATGTGTACATGTATTACTAAGTGACTTCTTTCCAATCAATAAATAATGAAGTGCTAGTTTCATGTATGGGGGCCGAAAGTATATTAAAAATAGTGTTTCAACTTCTTTTAAATATGCAATCATTCAAATAGGTTTGCATGTGTTGCATTTCTACTTTCAAATTATCATGAAGGATCATTTAAAACACTTCCAGAAATGGAAATTGATAACTATTCATTGACTGTAAAGCTGAGTTTTGAAAAGAAGTGCTTTCATACTGCTTTACTGAAAAATAATGCTTCCTTAAACGCTGTGTAACCGCAATTGGTCATCTTTAGTTCTGTAGAAGTGTGCGATGGCTCGAGTAACAATCCTACTTTTACCATCTGTATTATCCACCAATATGATGCTATTGCGTTCAGTGTCTTATATTAATGTCTTTGAGGTGACTAAGAAATGTAGGGAAAAGCTGCACAAGGTAGAATTGCATTTGAATATCTGATGTGCACGAGAAGCTCGATTTGAACTTAATACGTGAATAATCAAATGAAGTGAAGATGGACAGTTTCTGCTTGCCCCACAACCTAAGTTGGCTAGCGCACTACCACAACTCAAGTGTCATAAGGTACTAAGTTTTCTGAAATCCTCAGCAAAAACAAAAGTAAATAGGTATACAAGCAAATGTTTTAAGATGATGGCGAGGATGTTTAGCTGTGACTTCGGTCGGAAATCACTTTATTACACCACTTTTGCTCGGATGAAAGAGCTGCTAAAGCAATACAAACAAAACGGCTATGAAGAAATATTCCTCAGATGCAGTGTCAGCTTGCCCAGGAGACATGTGATCTCTCAGGTGTTTTGGATATTCACACGTGTGGTGAACGTGTCTGATGAAGGGTTTGAAAACAATACTATGTTCTTTTAAAAAACTTTTAAAAGGATATTTAGTTCATAGTACAGAATTTTCCACTGAACTCTGCTCTTGCCTGTGAATCCAAAACCGTGTAAATATGTAGTCAGCAAAACACTGGATTTATTTCAAGTCACCAATTGGCCACCTCGCCTCTGGATCTTAAATTGAAAAGCGTTACAGGGAAAGTGTTAAAGTTGAGAAATTGTAATATTGAATGTCTCAAAAAATGCATGAAGACTGCAGCACAATTATTATTAATATAGTGTAATACGAGTTATTCATTACCAGGAAAATTGGTGATCTATCAAAGAAAATGGTGTGTGTTTTGAATAGTACCCATAAAATGATTAGTGTATTCATCCCTAAAAAAAGTATGTTGTTTGCTTTTACTCTATTTATATTCATGATAATTTGCAGAATGGCCTGGTGAAGAACTTAGCTCTCATTGTTGTAACAACCATCTACTTAGTCACTTTTCCCGAATACTGTTTTAACTTTAAAACCTGTAATGTTCAATAGAGCGCAATTTAATTTTCCTGCAATTTCATTTGTCCATAATCGATATTCATTACTAAGCCCTGTGAGTTTTCTGTTTTTTTTTTTTTTTTTTTTTTTTTAAATTAATTAAAATGGGTTTTCTAAAATTCTGAATTTTGGGGCAGCATATTCCATAAATTAAATTGTGATCATGCCTGAAATAGGGATGCATCTGCCACGAACTGGCAATTGGTATAAAAACTTCTTTCACAAATAAAAAATTATTGGTTTTGGACTGATTCACCTTAAAATGTCAATTTTTGCTTTTGTTTTTTGTTACAATTACATTCTGAAAAAGTGACTATCAGAACCAGATATCATGATCATCCCATGTTACTTCCAGCATAGGGATGTCTACTTTGAACACTTATTGCTGTGAAGGGTTAAAAGCTGCAATTTATCCTAAATTGGTGGGAGTAATTATTTGCTCTTGAAACAAAGGTGGCAGTAGTTGTGAGGATTGGCATGGACGGTGCAAAGCATATGTGCTGCCTAAAAAATGCTGCTGAGAAAGTTACTGAAGTGACCCAGGAGACAAAATAGAGGAGAAGAAAATATAGCTAAAGATCAGATCATATTATGGCAGTGATTGAGGCCTATGAAGATTCAGAAGCTTGCACGTGTGCTAAAAAAGTGCGTTGTCAGAAAAACTTCAAATTCTTTTACTGCAGCAGTTTAGTATTGCAGATGGTTGCCTTCTCTGATATGTACTTTATGCTTTACTGGGGAAATAAATTATAGTGTGATGAAGGAATGCACATATGGTGGAAAATGCCCAGCAACAGCTGGAATAAAATGGGCTGAGTAATTCTTGGGTTTGGGGGAATTGACATTGTGAATGACACCAAAGCAATTGGATTATCAAATTGTCTTTGCAGCTCATGTGCATGAGGACATTCCAATTTGCTTTTCCCAACAATGTTTATAGGATCTTCCTACAATAATAGTTTTGGCAGTAACAGAGAAAGTGGCACGTTTCCAAGTTGGGGAAGTTTTTGCTTAGAAAATATTAATCATCCTTTTCTGTGAATGAAGAATGCATACTTTATCAATGTGAATTTTTTTCATTTCCATCTCTTGCAAAATACAGATTTGCTCTTGCCAAGCATCAAACAGCGAGTCGAACATCGCATTTCAATTGCTACAATGCCATTAGTTTGAAATAATTTGTCTTTTCCAAGCCATTCAAAAATCTCTGTTTGAAATGCCCTGAAGGCAATGTAAAAACAAACCCTAACCCTATTTACTAGGTTGTCCAGGTGACGCCGCGTCCATGGCGAAGGTGCCGACGATACACCCTGAGGAAGGTCGCAGAATGGCGACCAAAACGTCGGCACCTTCGCCATGGATGCGGCGTCACTTGGACAGTCTAGTAAATACTGACTCCGGTCGCAGAAGCCTACGCTCTCACAAACCCTAACCCACTAGGGTTATTGTGCGAGTATAAAACAAACCCAATTTTTGATTGAGATATTTAGGAAAAAACCTCATCATATATTCGGGTAAATATTAGTTTATGCTTTAGCAACATTCCAAAATATGCATATGTGTGTTTTTTCAGTGAATACTTTCAATGTAACGCTATTTTGATAATATATCTATTCCACGAGAAATTTTGAGTGTGAACATAATTATTGACTTTAGTACTTTTTAAAATGTTTCTTTTTAAAGAGAAAATCATATTTTCTTTGTTACTTGTCAGCTATATTTTTAATGTTACATAATGTAGACTATAACTGCTAATTGCATTAATATGACCATTAAAAAATGCTGCCATATTATTGTTTGTAACTGTATTAAGTGACGTTTAAAGAATTAGTGGTATTTGAAGGGAGTATTTTAAGTTATTTCCTCAGCCAATGACTAACTTGATTTATCATATTCACATTCCTTTAACCTAGATTCCCAGTTACTGGATGAGGAATCAGAGGTACTGTGTGTTTCTGTGATCTATCATGCCTGATGATATGCTTTGTAGTTAGTGGAAACTGACAAGCACTCCAATGCAGTCTAGAGGGACAAGATATGCATTAATGAAGCTTATCCATTTTGGTATTCAGTTTGAAATATGAAGTATGATTTGTTAGTTGGCACAATTAATCTGCACAATTCATGCAACTGAGAATATTTTTCTTGTATTGCTTCAGTTTTGGATTCTCATGTTTTTTCATCTAACAAACAATTGCAACTCGGTTTAATGGGCCTATGATAAAAGTTGAATATTGCCTTGATGTACCATTTTGCACAGAAACTTCAGTCACCTATGAATGTGTGTCAGTGTGTATTTTATTGTTTCATTGTGTAAAGGCAGTAAGGCTAATCTGTCTCCTTTTTTTTCTCTTTCATTTTCTCCATTAGGCTGAAAGTTGAGTTGAAAGCAATCAACATTCTGTGTACAGGAGACTTCATGAAAATGGGTAAGTTGTGTGAGAAAAGATATATGTAGTAGTAAGTTAGCTGGTTAATGTGAGTTAAATATAATAGAATATAAATATGAGGATAAAGGGCAGCTCTAAATCTATGGACACTTGAAATTTCTGGGTCTTTTGTTATGTTGCATATTGCCCAACAGTAAAAATGAAGAAAGTAATATATTATAAAGTTTTTTTTTTTAATATATCTGCTATTTTCTTACAAAACTCATGTGGTGGGACTCTACTAATGGGAAAGAAGAGAAATTTTATTCTTACATGCAAGTAAAGTACTTCCTCTAAGACAATGGTTAGCAGAATCCACGTTTAGTGGGTCCTTATTACCATAAACTCGGTTGACAGAAAAATGTGCATCTACCCCTCTCTCCACCCATCTTAAATTATTTGGACGATTTCTTCAAAATTGATATCCCCTGATGAATTAGAACAAACTTGGTAAAGGTATAAGTTGATATTTTGGGTTCATGAAGCATTTTCATAATTTTCTCAAAAATTACTCCAAACTGTTTTTTGAAATTCACCTTCGAATGGCAAAAAAATGCGTAAAAATTTTGGTGCTCGACTCATTTTCGTGGAAATGTCTGAATTTTCGAAAATTGCAGAAGTTCAAATTTATTTTTGGATTCTTCCTATGAGCGCCATAGTGAAGATATATTTTTCCTTAATAAAGTCTGTTCATCAGAGACATTTTGATGTAAGATCATGTACAATTTTTTGGAAAAAAATTGTCGTTTTTGCATAATTTCTAGTTTAAGGTAATAAAATTTAAAATAAAAAATCTGTAAGGCTAAACATTTTTTCCCCTTGTTTTGTCAAAAGAATGCTTAAAAATGGCAAGGTCTCATTTTTGTTGAGCATTCTCAATTTTCAAATTGCAAGTCAGAAAAAATGTGAAAAAGAATGTTATGGCACAGTTTAAAAAGGAACTGTTATCTTTTGCAATGGTAGATCATGTATAAAGTAGAATAATATATAATGTTTGGAAAGTTAAATTGTCCTTATCTAATGGGAGTTCAATTTAAATGAAGTACCTGCAAACTTCATTTGTGATGCCTCACAACTGTAGTGGGCAAATTTTTTCCTGTAATGTGGCAAGTGCCCTTCACATTGTAAGTTGCAGTTCTGAGTTTGTAGCGACTGTTGCTAGAAGTGATACCTAGCAAATGTCCTTTCTATTTTTTTTTAGATTTCCCTAGCTTCATTCTGCCCACAGATCACCATTTGGTCAACAACATAATGTGTAAGAGGGTTGTCCAGCTGGCGGCCGGCGATCATTTGTCAAAAGTAGTAGCTTTTATATAAAAATAGTTGATTGTTTAGATTTAAAGATTTTTTTTTCTAGTAAATTTAGAAATTCAAAATCATATCAATGTGTTTTGCTGCATTATGCATGGTACGACCTGATATCACACATGGTTCCATCCCCCTCTTGTTTTAGAGCAGCCAAGCAATCTGCTGAGATCAACAGTACAGGGAAGGCAGGTGTGGATGGCCTGAGTAATGAAAATATGGCCCCATGCATATTAAATGTGTTAGTTGTGGTCCTTTAGGCTTTGCAAGTTGGTCACCTCTGGTGTATAAAATGGCTTCAAAAGTTAACAAATGTGTAATTGTGATCCTCTTTTCTCAGTATATCTGTTGCAGGTATACTTTATCCCTATGTATAAAAAATCAAAATTTAATATTGCTCAAGAAAAAAATACTCATTTCATTATTCATATTTTGATATGTGAAAACTCTTGTGATGTCTTGAACTTCTTAGAAATTGAGGGTGTCTGTAGTTAGTGAAATGTCCTATTTTTATACATGATATGTAAGTCATGAAATTATATATGTTGGTTTTGCTTGAATATTTAATGGTACTTATGTATCAAGATATTTTCTCATGGTCTGCTTTCACTGTTAAATATTGAAATAGAATGGGATTTGTAATGTCTAAACTTGTGTCTCAGTCTCTTTATATCCTCAGTACTGAATTTCAAATCTAATATTATGTTCCATGAAACAAATGTGCACATTAAGATCGTTAATAAGCACATTACACTGAATCATCAGTGGGGAATGACCTGAAAAGAAAAAAATCAACGGGTTTTGCTGCAATTAAGCGAAGTTAAGAAGAATTGTATTCTTGACACCTTGTTTAAAAAATAATTAATAATGAGAAAGGTTGAAAGAAAGTTTTGAGTCAACAAGTGTATGACAATTCAGTATGTGTGTAATGTGATGTAAAACAAAGTACTGAACAAAAAACACAACAAAACACAATACAGGTCTTTGTGTATCAATTCTTGAAGCTGACTTCTTAGTCAATAGTTTTTTTAAATAGTTTCTTGAATACTTGTTTGGAAATAAAATTTGATGTGACAAATTCATGAGAAACTGCCCTACTACTAGCAACAAATTTAAGCATTCAAAAATCATATTGAAAATGCAGTATGAAGAAATATTTCAATGTTCTATAAATGTAAATTGGCTGCAAATGTTTGGTCTGATTACAGGGTTCCTGGTTGCTGACCACTTCTCACCTCTTTGGGTATTTTTAAGTTATAAATTGTTTCCTACGAACAACATAATGGTCATGTAAGCATTTAAAAAACTAATTTAAGAAAAGATTGATTTTCTTAACTACAAATAAACTTATACTATCATAAAATTTGATTTTGTAAGTTGACTTTGTTAAAAGTTTTTGAACTTTATAAGATCTTAGTATTATGTTTAATTTTTTGGCATAGAAAGGTTCAAAAGGTGTCTACTTCACTGAAATTTTATGAAAAGTTTATTTGTAGATTCTGCAATTATAAAACAAGAATAACATGCTAGTAAACAAAAAATCACCATTGCTAGTAAAATGCATTAGATAGAATGTTGCAGCACAACATATTTCTTTTTAAGTGTATGCTCAGTGTATGTCAGGTATTGACAGTGCATTTAAGATGCACTGCTGTTGTGATTTAACACGCATGTGCTCAACATTGTTCATTTAAATTGAGAAATGAGTATCTCTGAAGTGTAAATAGGTACATAAAGTTGTTAAAAAACATTGAAGCGTATTGCCCCTGCACTTGGGCCCAATATGAAATTAATTGAAAGCTATTTGAACTGAAACAGCAAAAATCAACAAAATACCAAGTTAGTGTTGACATATCCTTGAAACATTGTTCAATGTATGTCTTTCCTGAATGACCTATATTCAGTGTATGAACAGCAAATCGTGACCCCCCCGATGGGTATAGTACATCAATTTCACTCTGGGACATACAAATTCGTAATTATTTATTTTCACTTGGTACATAAATAGAAAAAATAGGACTTGTGAAATAATTCTTCAGAATCGTGCTGTTAGTAAGTACAATAATATAATTTCTGAAATAGGAAAGTATCAACTTGGAACAAAAGATATTGCATTGTTGTTGGGAGATATTTTATCCTATTGGACTGTTTAGTACATCTTGTAAGTTTCTTGTAATCATTTTTTCTTCTTATAAAAGTTTAAAAATGACTTTCATCTTTGAGTTGCAAAGCTTTATTTTTCTTCATATTTTCCCAGAGTATGGTTAAGAAATCACCAGTTTTGACAAGGCCAATTAAAGGTCTCTTAAACATCTTCAAAAAATGTTGCACTTTTCAGAAATTGAGTAACCCAGTTCCAAATTTAAGCGTCATGAAATTTTCTATTGGGTTTAGTTCATCCAGTTTTCTTTGGGTGTTATTTACCCATCAGTGAATTTCAAACGTTTACAGTACAACTTGCATATAATATACATTCTTACATATGAAATCTGCTTTAACTATATCTGTATACTGGTTTAAGCATTGTGTAATAAATTGTCAATATGTCTAGACCAATTTTGCTACTTGATTTAGAATTTTGAAGTAAAGTGAATACATTTTACACACTATTGACTTTTCCCTTGACTACTATCCTAAACCATTTAATTTTTCGAATCATCATTTGCCTTCATGTTCCAGTACTTGAACTTTCAAGTCAATGATATTAATATTTTTCTAAGGTGGGTAATGGTGGCTGAAATTGAATACAAGGATGAATTCATAAATCATTAAATGCATGCTGAATTCTTTCACTGCCAGTGCAATATTGATTTCAAAAGAATCTTCTGTAAAAGTTCACAAAATATTAAATTTCTGTATTTATTGCCATAAAACATGCCCTTTTTTTCACGCCCAAATTCTGAAATTCTTGCTGTATGTTGTATACACTAACATAATTTTTTTTTTTTTTTTTAATTTTTTGAGCTTGAACTACAATATTTTTGTGTGATGAACATCAATGATGGTTATTGTTAATCACCAGTATTAGCAGATTTTATAGCATGTCTTGTCACTTGAGTAAATTGAGAAGCTCCCACAAAATCAAGTACCATAAGTTAGGTAGTGTGTGTTGGGATATATGCTTCCTTAAAATATCCCTTGTGTAATCAAAACAATTTTCAAAATAATATTAATTTTGTTTGATTTATGTCTTTAAAAATGGAAGGGGGGGGATACATCAATGAATACTGTTAATTGTTGGCAAGTTGCTTGCAATGTAGTAGTTGGGAATTATTTTTATTCACTTACTTTTCTCTAAGGTTCTAAATTCCAATCTTCAGAATGTCTGAAAATATTCATTTAATTTTTCTTCATTATTTTGAAAATTTTGTTTTGTGTTACATTATTAGGAATTTAATTTCATGAAGTGCTGATGTTTCTAATTAGGATATTGATCTGTTCATCATGACATCCTTGTTTTATGTCGATATGGAAATAAATGGCAAATCCCTAGGGCGTTATCATAATATTGTTGAGAGAGTTTTTTCGTACCATTGTCTTGGAAATTTCAAGTTCAGTTCGTGAAAAATGTTTGCTTGCTATTTGAATTGAATGTCTAAGAGTTATTTGGAAAACTGTTGAATTCCAAATATTGAGTAATGATGTAATTGTTTCATTTTTATAGATTAATATTAATTGTTAGATAGACATGTTCAGAACAGAGCATGAGCAACATTTTTATTATAATTGAAAGAAGTCTCCAGCTTTTCTTTCCTCCTTTTTTCTTTATTTTTTTTTCTCTGGTTAAAGGACGTAATTGTATGGTAAAAATGTTGCAGTGTGTACATTTTGATTTGGGTTCCTCCACTCCCTTATGATATATAAAATTTTCTTAGGAAGTCAGAGTCATCTGAAGTTCAATACCGTATGCTTTGATACTGGGAACAAAAATAACCTCAAAGCTGTGTTGTTTGCTGTGCTGTCCTTGTATTACCTCTAGGAAAAGATTGCAACTTCTAAATAAAAAGCAAAAGATAACAGTAATGAAGTACATTTTTAAGTGTTAATTATTTTGGTGTTCACAAAATATTCTGATTTATACTTATAAATCTACAATTCCTTAAGTATTGTTACAGTATGTCTTTGTTTTCAGTTGCATGTTTGAGGTAATTGTAACTCATTTCTCAAATTTTGTACTCCTTCATTCCTTATATCATTTCTCAAAGCACAAATATTAAGGAAGTATTTTTCTTGAGCTCTGTAATAATTACAAAGTCTTATTTTGCTTCAGGTATTATTTAAGATTATTCTGTAATGTGATTGTCAGAATGTTGTGTGATAATAAAATAGCATGAAGATTTTGCAATAGTGGCCATTTTAAGTAATTTTTCATTATTTACAATTTTTTTGAGAGAGAATGCAGTCAATTACAGGTCAAATTGTTTTACACAATGCGTTTTGAAACACACATTTGCCTATTTTGTATTTTTATCTAATGCTTTTCTACTTTACATACGAAACATTTATTTTGAAGTTCTCTATGAAACCGTGTTTGCATCATTGAATTCAAATGATCTGTTAATTCACATTTCAGTCAGTAAAATTGGTGAAAATTGTATCTCTCAATTCCCCAGCAATGAGGTAAACACACAACTTGATTCTTATCCTCCGGTTCTTTTTAGGTTATAAAATTCCATAAACCACATCACACCACATTTTTTTTCATAGTCCAAACACCACATTTTATGTTATAAGTGTGACAATGAGTTATAATACCATGGATATATTTCAGATTGGGTTTTGCATGGTACAATGTTACATCTGAATTTAAATTTACCATAACGGCTTTTTAATAAGCAATCCAAAGTACCCCATTCTATGCTTCAAAGTTAAACTAGTGGTGCTACAACTATACTTTCGTGTATTATTGATAACAATATTGTAATATAAAATGTCCACTTGAACCCTACTAACACTTCATTGAACACTTGAAAAATATACATTAAAAATTGAGCAAATTTTTTAGAAAAGCAAAATCTCATTAAAGCATCTTGAAGATTTTTATATTGACGGAATAGATTGCCTTAAGAAATGAAGTAACTTAAATGTATGTTTTAACAAATTGTTGATATCTAATTTTCAAAATTCGAACTATATCTGAACAAACTAAATTGGTGCAGTTCTTGAGAAAGTCTTTTAGGTCTCAAAATGAATTCAGTCAACATCAAAAACTCTTATTTTGAAAAGTGAGCATGTCATTCAAAGAAATGATTTTGAATGTAACAAACACAACAGCTCTCTTTAATGTATGTGGAGTCCGAAAAATTTTACTTTTGTAATTTTCGAAAATTGAGGTTTTATAGAAAACTGATATATGCCATTTAAAGGCCCCTCCACACGAGCGTTGCATTGACGCGCGATAAGTAACGCGTTGTAGAATAAAGGCCCATTCACAATGCAAACACAAACATAAGCATGGCGTTAACATAAAAGGACTACGTTCATAAGCGGACTCTTACAATGCGTTTGCATAAGCAGAACACGAAAGACGTTAACTTAAAAGCTCGCAAATTTCTGTGCTTATGCTTAAGTAAGACAAGAAATGAACCAATCACTGTAAGTCAAGTCAAAATCGAAAGAGGAGCGAAGTCGCCAGATGGTATTATCCGCGAACTTCACAATGGTAGCGTTGGTCGGGAGGTCCATTTCCAGGAGTTCATCGTACAGAAGAGCACTGGGCCTATCTTTGATCCCTGTGGTGCTCCACAGGTCATCTGGTGGTCAACATTTGTGCTGTATTCTCTTATTCTTAAAGTAGTCGGCAATCATCCTCACCAGGTAGGTCGGTGTGTTTCTCTCACAGAGGGCTGTTATATCTTTCCACCGCGCCGTGTTGATAGCGTTTATGTCGATGTCTATCAAATATCGCACTGTAGTTCGAGGGTTAAGAAATATAACGAAAACGAATATTAATAATCGAAAATCACTTTGTTTTTCAAAATATTCCCCATGAATATACACTTTTGCATGAGTGGACCAATTGTCGAAGCACTTTTGCCAGTGATTGAGGTATCTCCAAAAGCTTCATTCTGAATGCAGCAACCGCTTTTTCAGGTGTCGAAAAACGTTGACCTCTCAGTTTTTTACGTACGGGAATAAAAAGTCATTCGGTGCCAAGTCAGGACTATACGGCGGATGACTCATCAAATCGATGTTTTGGGTGCTCAAAAATGAAGTTGTTTGAGCCGATGTGAGAGAGCTCGCATTGTCGTGAAGAGTGATCAGTTTTCGGCGGTTGGTTTTCCTGATTTCTTGGAAGACAGCTGGCAAACAAATCGTTCTGTAAGTGACTGTTCTGCGTTCTAGTGGTATGGTTGCGACATGTCCAGTTTTCCGAAAAAAACAGGAGACCATCTGTTTGGAAGTGCTTCGTGCGCGAACAACTTTTGTTGGATTTCGCTGACCTTGAAACACCCATACAGTCGACTGCTGTTTACTTTTGGGCTCACGCGTAAATCCACGATTCATCACCTCTCACGATGTAGACGTGTTTCGAAGCACTGCGATCGTATTTTTTGAGCATTTCTTTCGACTAATCGACACGAGCCTTTTTTTTGAGCGATTGACAAATTGTGTGGGATCCAAAGCGAACAATTTTTTTTGACAGTCAAATATTATTGCAATATTGAATGTATGCTGGTCTCACTAATGCCTAAGGTTGTCTCAATCTCACGATAGGTCACATGACGATCTTGCAATATCAGTTCACGCACAGCATCAATGGTTTTCGGAACAACTGATTTTGGACGACCTTCGCGAAATTCGTCTTGGAGTGAACTACGACCACAATTGAATTCACCATACCATCGATAAACACTGGTCCTTGATGGAGCTTCATCGCCAAACATTGAATTAAGTTCATCCATGCACTGCTGCTGAGTTAATCCACGTCGAAAGTTGTAAAACATAATCGCACGAAAATGTTCAAGATTTAATTCCATTTTGGGTCCAAGATGAATCTTTTAAGTTGCTGTAAACAGGGTTGCAAAATCCCGAAACATAAAAGACAACCTTCGTAATACGTGTTCCCTTTAGTAGAAAGGCTAGACCTCACCCAAGCGTACGACACCGTCTCCCATCCAATCCTTCTCATGAAAATCCCCGATCATATTCACACCCTGCTACAAAGCTACTTAAATCATCGCTCCTTCCACATCCGACACCTATCAAAAACCTCTCCCAATTACCTAATCCAAGCCGGCGTCCAACAGGGCGCTGTGCTATCCCCAATCCTTTTTTCCATTTATATAAATGACGTTCTACCAACACCAGGAGCACAAACTTTTCTTTACGCCGATGACCTTGCCTTCCTAGCTTCCTTCCGCTCCCTAAACCGATCCTTATCCTACATCCAAGAATCCCTAAACAACTTCCACCTCTGGGCTTCCCAAAACTCCATTATCATAAACCCACCCAATTCCCAAACAATCCTGTTCTATAAAACATACCCATCCAACCCCCCTCCCATAACCATTGGAAACGAACCAAGACACCATAAATATCCTACCTTGGCATAACCTCCTGCAGACTCCTTTGGTCCCACCACATCCACAAAATTACTGCCAAAGCAACCAGGATCACTAATACCTCATATCCCATCCTCACAAATCCCCACATTCCCACCAAGAGAAAAATCCAAACTTACAACTCCTATATCCGTCCCATCCTAACATTTGCCCATCCCACTTGGTTCGATACATCCCACAACATCCGCCTCATCTTCCGCCCACCCATGTACACCATATACAACTCCATACGACACAAAAACAAAATACCCCACATCCTCACACAACTCCGCAATAGCCCAAATCAAAAAATACATCAACCCCCTATTCAGAAACCTAACCCTTCCTCACCACATCCTCAGAAACCCACCCCGACACACCCGGAAAAAGCATTCCTTAGACATCCTCCAACTTCCCCCTCCTATCACCTAAGCCAGAGGGCAAAAACAAACAACGACAAATTAAACCGACAACGAATTCACAGAATGACTGACACGCTGTACATGTTGACAACAAAAACTCCGCCGCCTCCTTTGACTAAATCCTTGCCCACCTCTTCCCTCTCATCCCACCCTATCCCCTCCCATCCCGGTCTTGCCCCTTCCCTCCCCCGTCATCCACAACCTTAATAAAACAACCCCTCTCTCCGTAGATAAATTAACCCTTCCGCCAACAATCCAGACTCCCGATCCCCGTCCCGTACGGGGGAGAGGAATAAAAAAAAATCCATACAACAACCCACTGGAAGCCCATTGTTCGAAGAGACCTCACAAGGGATAATGCGAACACGATAATGAGACGTTTAGCAGAAAGCGTGTGCTTGGGCGTTTTCTTGGACCTGTTAGCACCGTAGCTCCAGGTTTGTGGGGCCAATTCAAGTTTATTGCGCGCCATCAACGCATCGATACGCCGCAATGATTCATTGCTTCTGACAGCTAGCTCATCAGCATCTTCTGCTGATACAATGAACACTAGGTCGTCCGCATATCCTATTAGTATTGCCCTCCTTGACAACTGCATCCCCCAAAGTTTGCCGTCATATAGAAAATTTCATAGGGTTGGTCCTTTTATCGAAATTTTTTTCGGCGTCTTCCTATAACTACAAAATTTAAGACAGATTTTTCCTTCAAATGAAATTTGTTTTTCCGTAGTTAGTTATTTCAAGGTCATGTACATTTAAAAAAAAAAAAAACTTTTAGTAGTTTTTGAACTCTATGGCGTGCAATATGTAAAATGTTAAAAAAATAACAAAAAACAAAATTTTCTCAAAAACGGCTTCAAATCGTTTCTTCAAAATTCTGGAAGTGATAGTGCTAAATGTAGTACATAAGATGACATAAACGCCATATTGCTTTATTCTTTTTTTAATTACAAAAATGTTTGTTTTGGGCTTGTCTCTCACGTCAGTAATATTTGCATTCACAGCGATTTGTTTACATTGTTGAATTTATGAGTACAAGTGCTTTAAATAATGTCGTGTAAAGTTTCTCGAAAACTGAACAGTTGTCTGGGAAAATGAGCTCAAAATTCCGCATTGTCAGAAACGCTCAAACCCCATTTTCTGAAAAATTGCTTCAAATTTTCTTTTCAAACTTCTACAACGGATAGTGCAATTTGTACTGTTTACTGAGACATAAAGTTCATTTCGGGGTATTCTTTTGTTTAAAAAAAATTAGACGTGTAATTTTTTAAAAATATCTCTCACGCCTTTAGTATGCACATTTCCTTCGATTTGTGTACATTATTGCACTAGCGAACACAAGTGTTTCAAATGACTTCAAATGAAGCTTTTCGAAAAC